CAGTTAATGAGCACAATTCGTTCCAGAAAGTTGCTCGTTAACCGAAAAATTCGTTAATCGAAACCATTGTTTCAATGGGTTTTTGGGTAATTGGTTCCAGCTCATCGAAAGTTGCCTAAAAGTCAACAGAAAAGGTAGTAAAGTACACTTACTTTTGAGGTGTGTATGTAGAAGGCTCCTGGATGATGATGATGATGGGAATTAGAAGTGGGAGGTGGAGGAGGAGAAGGGAGAAGAGAAGGAAGTGGAGGTGGAGGAGAAGCATTTTACTGCTGCTTGGAAGGTGAGTCACCTTCCATGAAAATGTCAGGAACCTCTGGACTGACAGATTCTCCACCAGGAACATCTCTCTTTTTCTTAAAGTGGAAGGCTGAGGGCTAGCATCTTGTTCCCGCTGCCTTTTACTGAAGAAACTGTAAATTTTTGTCTGTGGGGCATCTCTCCTCCTCATCATTAACTGATGTTTGAAGGAGGAGACCACTGTGTCCTCAACATGACACAAAGCTAGTTCAGATTTTTCCACATCTGGGTGCCTTGAAGCCAGTTTCCTGAACTTTTCCCAGTGGTCAACATCATCTTTCAACTCTGAAGTTGACATATGGTCATCACTTTCTATTTCCTCCTCACCACTGTCAGCCTCTAACATCTGATCCAGTTGCTGCAGGTCATCTGGATTAAGTTCCTGTTCATGAGACATCACAAGCTCTTCTACATCATCCTCCTCCACTTCAAGGACCAATGACTGACCAATGGACACAATCTCCTGGTGCAACTGTTTCATCCTGAAATCCCTCAAAATCATGGACTACTGATGGCCACATTGCTTTCCATGAAGAAGTGAGGGTTCTAGTGGAGACTTCTTGCCATGAGGACACAATCAATTTTACAGCCTCCAGGATGTTAAACTGTGCCTTCCAGAACTGTGCCAGTGTTAGTTCAGGATCAGTGGAAGTTGCCTGATGACACCTCCTGAACATTTTCTTCATGTACAACTTCTTGAAGTTGCTGATCACAATCTGGCCCATTGGCTGTATGATTGATGTAGTGTTGGGAGGCAAAAACAACACTTTGACAAAGTCAAATTGAGACTCCAAAGTTCTAGCAAGTTGAGGGTCATGACCAGTGGCATTATCCATGAGGAGAAGAGCCTTTAAAGGGAGTTTATTGGTGGTTAGGTAGCTCTTCACAGAAGGGCAAAACACCTCAACAGCCCATTCATTAAAGAGCTGTCTTGTCACCCATGCCTTATGGTTGGATTTCCAATAAACTCCAAGCCGTCCTCTTACCACTTTTTGTTGCTTGAACACCCTGGGGTTCTCAGAGTGGTAGACAAGCATAGGCTTCAGTCGGAAATCCCCTGAAGCATTGGCACCAAGCAATAGAGTGAGACGGTCTCTCATGGGTTTATGCCCAGGTAAAGAGGCTTCATCTCTGATGATGAATGTTCTTTTGGGCATCTTTTTCCAGAACAGCCCAGTTTTGTCCACATTGAACACTTGCTGTGGAATATAATTTTCTGTATCCATCAGTTCTTTAAATTCCACTAAAAACTTTGCTGCCCCTTCCTTATCAGCACTGGCAGCCTCACCATGCCTAACAACACTAAATATGTCACTTCTTTTCTTAAATTTTTCGAACCAGCCCTTGGCCCTAAAATCTTCAAAGTCTGTGCCTGTAGAACCAGTTTGATCTACCTTTAAATGTTTGTATATTTCCCTGGCTCTTTCACAAATAAATTCAGTAGATACTGAATCACCTTTCATCTGTTTTTTCCTAATCCAGATGAGAAGTAACCTCTGTTTTTGCAATTAGGGATCTTCCTTTAAACACACTGGTAGATTTGTCTCTCGCTTTCAATTCCTTGAATTTGTCTTTCTGTGCAAGAATTGTCGACACAGCTGATGTAGACATGCCATATTCTTTGCTTAGTACATTTGTTATAATGCCTTCTTCATTTTTCTAATTATTTCCTGCTTAACCTGAATTGAAATCACTTTTCTAGATTTCTTGGGACCCATGCTGGATTCAAACACAATCTCAACACGTGATATTTTAAGTTTTATTGCTGTAAATAAAGAATATTTTCTTTAAATTAACACAGCACTGCGCTATATATCATCAATATGTAAAATAAATTTCAAAATGGCCAATAATTTGACTGAAAACACAGAAAAAAGCATTTATGTTGAAGAGTCTGAAGCAAGATGTTACCTCCACTGAAAAGACACAGAGACTGACGCCTGTTTGGTGTGCTGACAGGCTGTTTGGCGCGCATAAAACTAGTTTCCTGTACTTTAATTATGTTCAATAATTGTTAAAATGACTAAAAAATTTAATATAAAACTTTTAAAATGATTGAATAGTACAACCTTTTTGATATTTACTAAAATGGTAAGGAATTTAAGCCCTAGAACCGATTATACTGTATTGGCAGACTAATACGACAGCTGGTGTGCAAGCGAAAACATGTTGAGGGCCACTCGTAAGGAGTTCGTTAATCGAGGGAATGCTTGTTAACCGAAGTTAAGAATTTTGTGGAAGGTAATTCGTTAACCGAGGCGGTGGTTAACCAAGGGATCACTGTGTTGACACTATTGATATGATTTAAGGACAATGAGAATTAGCACCCACCAAAGCGTGGGTAGCATACAAGAATTAAATCCAAATTATTGCGAATAAGTAGGTGGTGACATATTGGAGTTAGTGACTCTCCCTGTGGTAGGAGGTCCCTGACAGTGTGACAATCAAGGCCATACAGTAATGTTGAAGGGTGTTAGCAATGGGACAGTAACAGAGTTTACAGGAAGATATGTGTGGGTCATCCTCCACCTCAGATACATGCCAGAATGGTCTTTATCCTAACCTAATGTGAGCAGAGACAACATTATGTCTGCGGACCATAAGTCCACGTCGACGATACTTGTAGATAAGGAAGAAAGTGTTGGATGGATATATTTTCAGCCCGTTCACCATCCTTGCGGTGGATTGTAGGGAGAAGAGCGGCTGAACCTACGAGTACTGTATTCTGTTTCGGTAGGTCATGCTGGGCTTATATTTAGGCTTAAAAGATCCTGAATGGACAGCCATAATTTGAGAATCTGTTATTAATCTTAACAGAAAGATTATCAAAGAAATATGTGAATTGCTGTTTTATTTTATCTTTAGTTAAATATTTTTCATAATTTACTGTGGATTTATTTTAATATTTGAGACAAATAATAATTTTGTTACTTTTTACTTTCAGTACTTGAGTACCTTAAAAATGAAATGCTTTTTACTTCTGCTTAAGTACATCGACATTTGGATACATTTACTTCTACTTGAGTAACATTTTGCCAATGTAACAATACTTTTACTTAAGTAACAAAGTCCAGTGCTTTTTTACAACTGATATAGAGTACAGTACAGTACTTTTTTTCTTTTCATTTTTTATTTTTTTTTTTACGAGATTAGCCCACCAGAGCACAGGTCAATGACCCACATCTGGGCCTGGGGGCGAAAGTATAATAATAATTATTATTATTATTATTATTATTATTATTATTATTATTATTATTATTACTACTACTAAAAACTAATAAAACAATATTAAATAAAAATATATACTGTACTTATAATAATAAAGGACCATAAATAAATACAAAAATAGAAAAGAAAAAGATCAATAATGTACTAGTGAGAAATGATATACTGTACAGTATGTATGTTGTGTTGTCAAAGTAAGTGAAACAATGTAGACCCTGCAATTGTGTGTAAATGAGGCAGAAAGTCAGATCAGCAACCTGGGACTTAGTTACAATTTTTGTGATGGCATATGGCAGCAGGGTCTACTATTAGTGGAAATTTTGATTTAACAAACAGGTGGCTTGAATTAGTTCGTTAAATCGAGAAAATACTGTATATTGGTGTGTTAATGTAAAGGTGTATGGAAGAAACACGTTTGTTGTGGTACATTAATGAGAGGTGTGTTTGTGGTGTCCCTCATGGCCATGCATTAAATGACGTACAGTATCTGACATAAATGATTCTTATTTACAGTCATTTTTTTTTTTATGATAGCTTTGTAAAGAAACAAGAAATTTTATAGTTGAATTTTTAGCTTATGAAAATTTAATTGCAAGAAGCCAAAACTGTAATATGTTAATCTGCAATGAATTAGGACTACATATAGTACTGTAATATATTGTATCCAATGGTAGTAAACTTGTTGCCGAATGGGATTGCAGTTATCGTACAGCTCCCTCCTCCTCCCCCACTTTTTCTCTTACCCTACTTTTTTTCTGATGTTTGGATTAGTAAAGGAAGGAAGAGGAGTAAAGGACAGAAAATAGTTAGAGATAACAGGTGGGGGGGGGAGGGGGGAGCTGAGTTTCATCATGTGTCTGGATGCGCAGATTCAACGTTACCAGACCATTTTCGGACCTTACAGCTACAGTGTGTATACTTATTCCTGTGCTTGACTGTACTTAAAAAAAAATCAAAGTCTCAAAGTCTCCAAAATTCACAATACTACCTTACAGTACTTGATTTGAAACGAAAGTGGATTAAAGAAATTGTACAATATTGCTACTTTGTTAAGCACATAATCAGTACTGCTATTCTGCAACTACTTTTGGGGATTAATCTTCACATTGCATTGAGCATGCTTCTTGAAGTTGTTGAGAAGCTCATCTTTCTACTCTAGTTTAAGGAACACTTCATTTACTGGCAACTCCTTTTTGAGCCCTTTGATTTCCAAAAGTTTGGTCTAACTTAGAGGATGGGAATCCATCAACTCAACTCTATTTAGGGGTACAGTAATTTGTTTGTAATCCAGGGAAATTATTGCAAGATTTATGGAGAAAGAAAATTACTCCCAAGTTCTTGGTGTTCAGTAGTTCTTTAACAACAGTTAGTCATCTTGTTGTAGGAAATGAATGAAGCAAACTTAGTAATAGGCAGAATGCATTTACAGTACAGTACTGTATATGTAAATTTATGTATTTATTTTTCTTTCTCAGGTGTTACATACATCAAGTTTTCCAAAACATCTGAGGCAGCGCTGGCCATGGAAGAGATGAATGGTCGCTGTATTGGAGGTCACCCAAGACCACTCAAGGTTCTCATTGCACACAGGTAATGTAATGATAGCACTTCTTTTGTACACATTATAAAAGGTAGTAGTATAGGACCTGCTTTTGCCAAGGAGTGAACTTGTTTGCTGCCGGAGTACATACTGTATAAATTATGAAAATCATTATATAAGATGAGTACAGTACACTACAGAGTTGGCAAAGGAAGTCAAGAAATCAATGTGTTGTACCACTTAAGACTTTTACATCCAATTATGAGCTGAATTAAGCAACTACAGCTACACAAGGTCTTTACAGTATTCGCTGCGGTTAGGTAAAATGGACCCGTGAGAAAGCAAAATCCGCAAGTTTTTCATGCCTGTCCCAGGAGTGTGTAAAATACATACAGTACGTATATAAATAGTTATATGCACATGCATTACAAAATAAATAACACTATATGGACATTAGGCCCACACAGTGATAGTTAGTTGTGGTAGTGACAATGCAAAGACAATACCTCTGAAATGTTGGCTGATCTGGTGCACAGGATGTAAACAATCCCTGTACTGGACAGTTCCTTGTGAACATGCCCGGTACAGATAAATATTTGTAATGTGTATACTGTAGTAGGTAACTATATATGTAGTTATATCCTTTTGTATTAATTTGGGTAAATTTTATTAACAATACCAACAAATGTTTGATAATACAGTAGGCCCATAAAGTGATAGTGAGAACCATGACAGCATATAGCCAGTGACTTGGCTTTGCCGGTACAGTACAGTAGGCTATTAAATTGCAAAAATTCTTTTTCCAATATATAAACTTGCTAATTATAGGATACATCTTATGACCTGGGAAATATGGTGGTCTGTACTGTCCTGTAGTGTTGACTCCTCTTGATCCCTGGCATACAGCCTCATTTATTTTATTTATTTTCCATGCCAATCCGTGAGTTCTGAGGGACACAAGCTTTGAAACTGCGAGTTTTAAGAAAGTACTGTATTTGTAAAAATAAAAATACCTGAGGCTTAACCCACTAATGATTGACCAATATATATATATATATATATATATATATATATATATATATATATATATATATATATATATATATATATATATATATATATATATATATATATATCGAGGTTCTACTATATAAAAGGACTTAGGCTATGATATGGGGTATGTGTTCCGACTTAAAAACATCTCCAGGAATGGAACTCATTCATAGCCCAAGGACCCTCTGTACACATTTTCTGGGCCAAGGGACCTTATACAGCAATATATATATATATATATATATATATATATATATATATATATATATATATATATATATATATATATATATATATATATATATATATATATATATATATATATATATATATATATATACTGTATATATATGTATATATACACACACACACACACACACACACACACAAACAGTCTCTCCTCGACTTACGATGGGGTTCCGTCCCGACGACCAGGCCTTTAGTCGAAGAAGCAAAAATAATACATAGAAATTCTAAAATGGGTGTCTCCTTTTCTTCTCAGCACCACGAGAACTCTCACTTTTATGCTTGCCAGCCATTTTAAAGGGAATTACAAACAAAAATTTTGTCAGTCCACAGCACGATCATTAACGTCGGGACTCGAAAATACAGAATGTGGAAAATATTTTATGCGACCATGGCCGCCGTATGTCCGGATTACGGGCCAGGCTAGGGTGGAAAGGGTATAATGGCAGGTATTGATCAGAATATTGTATACAATTAAATATTCTTAAATGTTTGTAATAACAAATAACTTTTGATGTTATTACTAAAGTTGAGAAATTATATATATATATATATATATATAATATATATATATATATATATATATATATATATATATATATATATATATATATATATATATATATATATATATATATATATATATATATATATATATATATATATATATATATATATATATATATATATATATATATATATATATATATATATATATATATATATATATATATATATATATATATATATGTGTGTGTGTGACAGTGCCAAGAACATAATACTTGGAGTACTGTACAGTACTGTACCCTGTACTGTATTGTATTCTCAGCATGACAACCAGTGTTATGCCATACATTACCTAGTTGATGGTATAATGCATAATTAAAACACAAGGTACAGTACAGCACTGTATTAACCACCACATTAAGGACAACTGATACTGCCAGTAATGGTAATTTTGAGCTGTCCAGGCAATAGTAACTGTCAGGAACAGAACATCGGCTTTAAGCTGGGTGGGGTGGTGAAACTGCTTGTCAATTTTTCAGTTTGGACATGTACGCCTGTCACTTTCTTGTCTTGCTAAGAGACAATTTTTAAAGAAAAATATTTTTTGTTAGATGTTTTGAGGCCAAAAAGTTCTAGTGAATGTCTATAATAATGTTTCATATAAAACAATGATATAATTATTTTTATGGGTTCCGATAGTGCTGTACTTCAAGGTGTTGCATTTGAATTATATCAACTTTTTTTCTCTCCAAAGAGAGAAAATAATTACCATAGATACTGATTCTAATACATTCTCTAATATTGCATTGTATGTGTTGAAGCAGTAGTTCATGTTCAAAGGTACCTTATAATACATACATATTGATAGCTATTTCATCATTCTATGCATTTTCAACCAAATAATTTTTATTACACTTACCTGTACTGCATCAGATTATCAGTTGCCGTGTACAGTATGAAGTACCTCTTCTGTACATTTAAGAAGTGTGAGAATCTCACTGTAAATCACCTTGTTCTACAGCATGAAGTGAACATTTGTGCTTAAAGTAAAACAATAAAATTAATGACAGCAATTAAAACTTACATGGTGATGATGGTGTACTGTACTCGGCAATTACTGTACTGTATGTTAAAATGCAAAGGTTGGTTGTGGGGACTAACCTGTTGCCACTCTTCATTGACATTTATACCTTTAGTTCTCCTTTACATTAGCTATTGTATAATTGAAGAAGTTGTTGGCCTCCTGATATATTTTATTCTAGATATCCTTTGTGGTATAGAGGAATTTTATATGCAAATTGAATTACCTGTACACACTGTACTGTATAATATTACATATTTAGCCCATAACTTCTAGCATCATCAGTAGTCCTACAATAGTGTACTGTATAGTGAATGGCAGCGTACAGTTTATAATTTGGTCTGCTGGTTTGCTTTGAGATTGCTGAAATTGTGGGTTATTATAGATTGTTTCTAAAGATCACTTTTCTGGGCACGTTGGGAAATATAAATACTCTCGGGGATAATAAGGATTTGATTAATATTCCTTATTTTGTTTCAGCCGTGACCAAGGATCACGACGGGACATGAATGAGGAGGAGAGACTATTGCGACTGTTTGTAGTGGTTCCCAAGTCACTCTCTGAAACTGACCTACGTGAACATTTTGTTCAGTTTGGGGACATTGACTATGTTTCCATCGTGCGAGACCGCAATACACGAGACAGCAAAGGCTTTGCTTATGTCAAATATCACAGGTAATGCATTGTATTTGTTTTACTGACTTATATTGGAATTAAATGATAAATTATCTTTTTTCTGTGGTTTGAATTTAAAAGTTGTACTAAGCTAGTCTTACTGTCTTAGTAACTTGCACTTTGAAAAAGGATATTATTTAACCATATAACTTTGTCTCCTTTGGCACTAGTATTATATGGTATCTTAAGCAGTTTTAATGCAAACATTAAAATATATCACAATGGCTGAGAGAGCTGTGTGTATAAACAGTCTCAATTATGTCTGTGACAAGTTCTAAATTTGCACCTGGCTGATTGTATTCAAACAGTCAACTGTTGAGGGAAAAATGTTACTAGTTTTTCCTGTTTCATTGGCACAAATGTTCTTTATATTGTAGGCACCTCAATGTTTTCCAAATGCAGCTCTGGGTTTTAATGTTGTTAAAGGGCACTATGTTAAAGAAATCAATAGACTAATAAAAGTCAAACATGAGTTTATCTAGTGGTTAGTGGTCAAAAGTAGATATTTTTTCTTTTTAATCTTTCTGCTTATAACTTGCTTCCTTATAATTTTTGGTTGTGCTTTCGACAGAATGTCTCATGCAGCGAAAGCTTTTGAAAGCTGTGATCGCACCTTCAAACCAGTTTTTGCTGATCCTAAGCCCCAGAAAAGTGACGGTATTAAGTTTGATGGTGGTGGCGGCAGAGACTTGAGGGGGGATATCCGGGGCAGTGATGGAGGTTATGGATACTCGTCAGGACCTCTCACACCCCATATCAATAATCATCATTCACCTTTTGATGCCATTTCATACAGTAAGTATTGAGTGTCACCTTGATAATGCTTAAACGTTTTTTTAGTAATACACATTACAGGTTCATCCCTTGTTTAGCTAGATAATAGTTATAACTGCAATTAATTTGAGTTATACCTTGAGTTTCAGTAAGAATGAAGATTTTGCTAGATTCCATTATTACCAAGCACAGTACTGTACATTACTCTTTGTGTGCATTGTAAGTTTTGAATATGTGAATATGGTACAAATCCTATTAAAAAGTTTTGATACTTTTAACTTTGAGTGAGCACACTATAGATGCTTGATAATTTTTTTCTTAGATGTACTGTATGAAAATTAAAAATATCATTTCATGCTATTTGGTAAGGTAGTTTGAATAAAAAAAATTTCCAACACCATAATATTACTCAATACACTTGAAAGGACTTTTTATATTTAGAAAGTCCTTTTATAGGTTTAATCCGAGGTTTAAGTTTCACTTCACTGTTATTACTTTGGTCATACTTGTTTTCATTATCATAAAAGCTATAGACTATTCCCCCTCCTCCCACATACTCCTCCCTTGCTGGTCACTTTGTTTACATAACTCCAATCCCACTTGTTTAGGAAGGATCAAAAACAAAAACTTTCATGGATGGCGGGAAATTTTAAGGGAAAATGATTGGAAAGGGTCTACATTGCTTCACAACACTTGTTAACAGCTTGCCACGTTAACATAATCATTCTGCCTTCAAGAGACGATTTCAAACATTGACGGGAACACACATTCAGTACAGTACCTACGTTTAATACCACTCAGTAAAGAAATTAGACAACATGAGAAATATTATGTGAGTTAGGTGGATCGAAAGTAGGAGTTTCAGATTTTTGAAGAAGTGTCGGATTTAAAATTCATTGGAAACCTGAATGGATGATTGAGAAATAGGTGGTATGGGCATAGGGAGGCCATGGCTGGTGTGATATTGGTAAGCAAGATCTGTGACAGCGTCATAAGAGAAAATAGGAAAGGGCTGGACGGACAGGATTCATAGGTGAATGGGTGATGTCATGTAAGGTAATACTTGAAGAATGTTATAGATTTTTACAAATGGAAACTGTGTGTGGGATAATATTAGCATGAATATGCCTAATGTGAAATACTGTAATTGGTGTGTAAATTAAGGATTTGGTTGTATACTTTGTACACAAGTTAAGGTTATGGGGAAATGTATGTAGGACATATTCCTACTTGTTTTAATCCTTTCCTGTCATTTTGCATACTTTTCAAGCCCCCTTCTCCCTGGGGGTTTCACCTATTCTTGATGTTTCTGTTTCTTGTGATTCACCCTATGTATTTATGGGCAGAGGAAAGGTAATAGAGCCATAGATGTAGCTATATTTGTTAGGCTAGATAAAATAATATTGTTTTTCTGGTAATTCAACCTACTTGGAAAATTGTAACGTGACTATTTTTGGTATATGTATTAGGGTTTCAGGGAGATAAAAATTGGTTCATCCTTTACAATAGAATGTGATTTTTTTCTTTAATGTCATAGTTCATAAATGGCTATACATACAGTAGATGCAGAACAAATTTAGTTAATTTATAAACAAGTTTATTGTCTTAAAAAAGATCAAGAATTGTCCAAGGGCTGTCTAAAGGAGTGGTCTGTATTATATCATCTGGAGAACCGAGCTAGTATTTGTGAGTGACAGGTGAGACAATAGTTGGGAACACAAAGAATGAGATGGTGAACTTGTCAGTACAGTCAATGCCTTTTTTTTTTACCCATAATAACACAGTATGATTAAAGCTCACTGATAAAAAATTCATTACCCTCTCTAAAACTGGACACACCTTATATACATGATGAGTTCAGTGTGCCTGGTATCTAACTAGTTTTATTGTTGTTATTACAGTAGAAGCATTGTTTTATGTCTCAGTAACCCCCTCCCATGTATGAGTTCACCTGTCATATTCCAATAAATCTTTACAAAGTTAATTTTATATATATATATATATATATATATATATATATATATATATATATATATATATATATATATATATATATATATATATATATATATATATATATATATATATATATATATATATATATATATATATATATATATATATATATATATATATATATATATATATATATATATATATTATTTTTTCTGGAGAAAAGTTTTACTGTCTTCACAGTACTTGTTGTTAGAGTAATATATTTTTATAATAATTTATTCCTTGAATTGTTGAAATGTTTTGCATTGTATGTGGACAAAGTTGTGTACTATGATGTTCGAAATAGTGAACTTATAGGATACTATCATACTATTCATATTTAATAGTTAAGGATGTGGTATTTCAGTTTTGCTCTCTGAAACATTTTTAATTAATGAATAAAGAATTTAAGGTCATGCTGCAATATTCCAAGAAGGTCAGGATAACTAAACTAATTTTCTGAAGAGAAAAATTTAAGGTAATGATGTGGTAAGTTTACTTGTAAGGAGTGGTTTAACCTGTTGTGGTGTGTGCTAGTGAAAGGTGGGTGTGGTAATGTACAGTAGAAAGGTGAAAAGTACAGGATATTTAGATAAATACTTGAAGTGAACGTGGAATTTGATTTGATGTATTTGGCATTGAGAAAGTACAGGGATGAGTACAGGGATGGGCATTGCTAATAAAGGTAAATACAGTAGTAAGGTGCTATTAATTTCTGAAGAGAATGAATGAGGAGAGAGAGTTTGATTTATACACCATATCAATTGTATTTCTTGTCATATGGCTCTTGAGTTTAGTATGGCTATCATATATTTCTCACTTAATAAAAACTAGGAATTTGAATACCCAGTGTATTTTTGGATTCATGGTAAATTTTCATCTTTCATTTCACTTAACACCCATGGATGAGTGTTTGTGTAAGGAGCATTTATTGGGGGAGGGAGTTACTAGTAGAGTAATCGAAATCTGTTTTATCTAGTCTGTTTCTTTAGCTAATAGATTTATACTGCTACACACTAAAGTAGCCTCTACATACATTCAACCTCAGTATTAATGTATGTTTGATTTCTTATATGTACAGTATATATATACTTTAATTGGCCATGAATATAACATTAGTATCTTCAACTACAGTAGATTTATTTGCAGTACAGAACTGACATTTTCCCCCAACTTTTCTCATGTTATACTACTACATAGATCTTGGTACATTTAGTAATAGCAAAAAGCATGAAATGATCAACCATCGAGCTGAAGACATTCTGTGACACAAATTACATTATTACTCTTCCAAAACCTGTTCTTGTTTCTACTTAGCTTCCTTGGAATTACAGTTTAGTATTTTCAGACACTAGGCTATGTGGGAATAATTCTGATTTCTTAAATTTAACTAATTGTGAGGGACATTATACTGTAGGTGCCTTTTAACTGACAAAATAAACTGGGGACATATAAGGACTTGCCACTGGACTACGGATATAGAATCTTTACTCATCATTAGTACAGTATTATTATTTTGGTTTTGTTTTATTATTTATTGGATGTCATTCTGTTTTGCTGTGGGAGCAGTTAGATGATAGTTTTAATGTTTTTATAAGATATTGTACTCCCAATTAGTTAATGTCATAGTCCCACTCAAATTGCAGTTCGTGTGTCAGTTTGAAATCTTATTTTGTTGTAGCTTGTATCACTGTCAAGTACTTGGCACATGTGAAAAGCATCAAGTCCTTGAAAAGCATGAGAAATTATTTGTGGTTTTAAGTGATTTTTGCTGCTCATTTGGCTAAAGTTTACTTATGTTTTATTAAACGGTATTAACTCTTGTTGGATTTAATAATTACCTTTGTTGCGGCGAGCTTTCAAGTTTATTTGGCTTTCAGTTTCTTTATTATTATTTAATCAGTACAAATCAGTATAGGTATATATGGCTTTTGCAAAACTGTAACTACTAATGACTTTCTTAAGTAATGCCATTGTATATTGGCCTTAAGGCACATGTGAGAAAAGATGTCCTTTGTTGCTCTAAATCTAATTTTTGCCTCAAGAATTTTCATTGGTGCTTTTATTTTCAAGATTCACCATTTTTATTTTATTTTATTTATTTTTTTTATAAATATACTAGAATTTTTTCTTCCATTTTTAAGATCTCAGTATTTTGATAAATCAACAATTCTGATTGTAGTAGGAAAAATAAATGCTTCATAATATATTAGAGTATTGCATTGTCTTTTTGTTCAAACGCACCTCCTGGAAATTCTTTAAGCAAACAAGGACTTGTTTAACTGTTTGGCCCATGTTGACCTATGACACAACTCATTGCGGACATCCGACCCCTCTACAGTGGACACAAGTGGGCTAAATCCTGAGGGTGTGACGCGGCTGACTGTAATTGCTTCGCCGACCCTCAACCAGGACCAGCTCTGGAAGTTGTTTGACCTTATCCCCGGTCTTGATTACTGCGACCTGAGGAAAGACCGCAAGTCTGGACAGGTATACTATCATCATGCAGCACGTGGACAGGGAAACTGGGACATTGTTTCACTGTTCTAAGTTAATCTTAGATTAAGGTTTTAGGTTCTTTTTTAAGTTCGTAAGAACATGGTATAGGGAACACTATTCCTTAGACATCATTGCGTTATGTACAACTTTGTCTAACCTTGACATGCTCCGACCATTATCTTGTACATTTTGTCGTTGAACTCTTTATACATCAAAAATTTGTGTTTTGATAACTTGAGATGTTGGTACAATGGTACACTAGGGTGGCGGTATATTTTTTTGTTACACTGTACATGTATTGAGAAGTGTGATCCTTTATTTTGGGTTTTTCAGTTTGCCAAAAATTTGAGTACAGAATTTGGTTTATATTAGGTACATTCTGTAGGTTATATGCTCAATAGCAAATACCTTATACTTGTGTGCAGCATTATTGATTGTGAATTTGGTCAAATATACAGAATATTGACTAAAAATTAAAAAGTAAACATATAGTAGTATTAAATAACTCTGACACAATGCAGAACTTGGTGGTTAGACTTGGCATAATGTAATCTTACATTTTATCCCCACACCACCAGTGGTAGGGACATTAAGTGGATACTTCTTTTTTTTTTTAACCTAGGTTGGGTTATACATTTTTTATTGAATTTAGTATTGGGGGATCAATTGTGCAGGTAATTGAGCATTGATTTTGGTGACACTGCATCATTCAATTACAGTATTGTACTGTACAGTGAAGTCTCCATATAACAGAGTTCTCTCTCCCTATGATCCCTTAGATGGAGGGTTTCACATCTAATGGTCCCTCGATAAAACACATAATCCTCTAATCAAGAAAAAGTAAGAATAGGGTTTAAGATAAAAATAGTGGTAGAAATAGCATTATTAAAAGCTGGAGAACTGAAAGACATACCTTTAAGGGAGACAGTACTTATCATTTGACAGTGTGCAGTAAACACCCTGAATGAACTGTAATACTATAAGTTTTGCCAAAGAAAACCGACTACTGTACTTTTAAAAGCTTTTTATTTTTATTTTAGTATGGTACGTTTTGTTGTAACTGACTGATAATACTGTACTGTGCAGTGAGACTCATAGACAGTTGTTTTTATTTCAATCAATCTATCCATTTAAATTGTAAAATAAATGTCAGTTTACCTACAGATGAAGCTCCACTCACTTATGGTTTCCATAGTAACAGTTATAGTTCACAGAAGTTGATTGTTAAGTGGGTTTAACATCACATTGATAGAATTATGAATTTTCCATATTTTTCTTTGGTGTTATAATGTAATGGATTTTTCTTATATTTTCTTTCTCCTTACAGTTGAAAACAGAGTTTGTCCCTGAAAAAAATTATGATTGCTAAGGATGCCTAAAATAGAGAGAGCATAGTCTATTGGTTGATTCACTGTAATGTGTACAAATGTCTCAAGTTGATGGAATAGTGATTGTAGGGGACTTGTTCATTTGCATGGTCTTGACATAATAACGACATAATTTATATCCTGTAAGATAAACGCAAAAAAATTTGTTATGGTCTCAAGTCAAAGAAACAAGGGTTGTCGGTGATTTGTTAACTTGCATGCCCTGGACACAAGGATGGCATAATGGGTATCTCATAGTACTGTACTGTATTACTTTTGGCCTTAGGTACTTGATCATTGGGAGCACATTGTAGAAAACACTAATACTTCTTTGTAGTTGACTGTTGAGTTTTAGTTTACAGTTCATTATTTTGTAAATACTGTAGTTAAACTATATTCAAAGTTAGAACTAATCCTTATTCTTGATTTTAATTTCTTTTAATGAAACTTTTTCCACACAGGAGTAAATTAATATTTTATACTTAATGAATACTGTAAGTTGGAGACATTAAAAGACAAAGCATGATAAAATTATGAAGAGGGTCATTAAGAATTTAGGCTGCAATTTTGAGATGGTTTAATGTTCATTTGTATTACTCTCCTGCATTCAAAACAAGATGGAGAGTATCTAAATTTGTTCCTGATCATCTCTGCCTTCAGTGGTTTTAGGTGTAATGCCAGTACGTAAAGTTTATTGCTGCTGCATTTTTTGCAATAGTTTGGCAATCTGATGAGGAGTTATCATTTGTTTGTGCTGTACTTAGAACTGAATATGAAGGAATAGAAACGTACAGTACTTTATTTTATTAGTATGCACAATAAGAAAAAATCAGAAAGAAAGAAAGGTGTATAAATGTATCACAGTACTTTTTAAAGAATTGTGCAGGGTTTGTGAGGGTGACCAAAGGAAAATTGCTGATTTCTCACAGTAGTCCATATGTGGACCACATTTACAATTTTATTATTGTATTATACTAAAAGACCTCTCTCTTCACCCAAACCAAAAGATGGCTCATCATCAGGCGCGAGGAGTTGCCACCGTGGTGTATAATAATATTCAGTCTGCAACCTATGCCAAAGAGAAACTTCATGGATTTGAATATCCACCTGGCCAGAGATTGATTGTCAAGTTTGATTCTCACCATGACATGCCTCCGTAAGTTGAAATTTCTGTTATTGATATTTGTTAATTTGAGTATGGTGGTACTTTTGAAAAGTAGTAATCATTGATCCTTTATTTCTTGTAATTCTTTTAATTATTTCCTCATGCTTTTATTGCAGAGGGCCACCACCCATGATGTCAGGCGCTCCAGGAGGCCCACCGTTTGCAGGTTTGCCTCGAGGTGTAACAGGTGCTATAGCCCCACACAATGGTACTATGGGAGGGAGTCCTCCTGGCAGTATGAATGTAGCCCCCCAGTCTCTTTCTGGTGGACAGCCAAACAGCAATATTCAACAGAATTTAGCACAGTTAGCTGAGACCATTGCCCAAGCAACATCTCTCATACAGGCTGCAGGACTAAATCAGGGTTGGTGATTGTGCATTTACATACTTTTGAGAATACCAGAGGTGTTGTTAGATGTAGTGGTACGATGGGTTTTCTCTTGGTACAGCTTTGAGAAAAAAAGTTGTATTAGTATTGTGTAATTTTTAGAAACTGCAATGCAATATGAAGTGGAGCAACATGTTATCTTCATGAAAATTATTCTCAAAATGATTACGTGATGGATTGAATATCTGGTGGTAGTTGTATTGCCCAGGTTCAGTTCCTTATAAAGCCGGTGGCCTCCAAGAAGCCGGCTACTTTCTCATCACTGAGGCCTCTTAGAGCCTATGCAGAAGAATTGTCTTTGGTGTTTAAGGGAGGATTGGGAATCAATTAGTTGGTTTGTGGTGTGCAGGACTGAGTTACAGTGTGGGCAGAGAGGATTTTGGAATAGTACTATAATTGGATTTTGTGTCTAGTGGTTAAGGAAGGGATGAAATCTCACTTCTCTAGTGGGCTGTTTGTTTCAGTGGATGGTTTTTTGGGTGTCAGGGCCTCTAAAATGCAGTTTGAGGATTATAATTGAATGTGTATGTATTTGGAGGAGTTTGTTCAAGAAACGAGGTATCTGTGGTACAAGTATTTTTTTTTTTTTTTTTTTGTGGTATTTTTGTTTCAATATTCAGTATCTCCTTTGTTGTGAGGGCCCCATATTTTTATTCCTACCCATGCTGATATTTGTGAGTTTATGTAACCTGCTATAATTTATAGATAAATAAATGTATATTTGTTTTGGTATATTTTATTTTGATTCAGCTGGTACAGACATGGATTATTTTGGTCCAGATAAACAGTTCCTCTCATACTGTTGTGAGCAGTTCCTCTCATTGACCAAAAGTGGTGTTTGTGAGCAACTTCGAATGTGTTGAGACTCGGTAGCTGAGTGTGTGCTGGGTGAGAGTAGTGTGTGTCTAGTATGATGCCAAATATTTGTGAGTGCCCTTTGAGGGAGAAGAGTGTGAGACTCAGGCTTATGAGGTGTGAGAAGTGTTATGGCTTTTGTGAAAGGGGAGGCTGTCATAGAGTTTTGGCTGTGCTATAGTTTTTTCTTTAAGGTATTGTTGGATTATATTTGTAGTGTGTTGTACTATAGGAAATTGAAAGGCTAATGTACGGTATTCTTCATTTAGGTAGTGTATACCTTTATTAGCCAATTATATAACTGGTGAGGTACAGTACACCCTCTACTTTTCATTGATTTATAATTGTAAACAATAAATGGAATTTCAGAAGTAGCTAAACCTAAAGTGAAATGCAAGCCAAACATGGCTGCCTTTGTGATCAGCTCTAAATCTTCTTTAATTTGCAACTCCCAGCTAGTTTTATCTGTGTTGGTGATTCTAGCTTCCTCAGAGCTTTTTTAACCAATAGGCCAATGATTATGGTGCACCAGAGATGTGACTTCATATTTTACTGGTTCTCATATAATGGACACTGAAATAAAGAGTTGGATTCATGGTCATAATGATACAGTACCTGATGATGTAGATAATAAAGTCTAAATATAGTATAGAATACCAAACGTTCTTGCTAATACATAGCTTACTGCTCCCACTATTTTTTATATTAGATTAGATTGTGGCATAATTTAATTAATATGTGGACACATTGGTAAAAGATTAAAGGACATCACCATGATGTGCCTTTTTAATTTGGTGGATATATTCATTGATGTTTGTTTCAATGCACAAGAGTTTAAATTGAGTAGAGTAGAAAGAAGAAAACAGTGTGTGAACCATTTAGAGTGGTGTAGATATTGTCTGTCCAAAGCATTACTGTCCTACCAACGAGGATCCTTTAGGGAGACTGCAGGGCTAAGTCATTGTAACCAACACAAAAACAAAAACTAGCCTAAGTTAACCAGAAATAACTTCACATTGTTAACTTTGGTTGGTTCATGTTGTTAGCTGTCATTGTTGATATAAGAATCGACTAAACCTTTGCTAACTTAATCATCCAAGGTATTATTGCTTAGGTCTTAGTGGTTCTTTGTTATGTTGGTGATTATCAAACTCATTTTTTTCCATTGTCACCAGATTTGTTCGTTATGCATTAAAACAAACGCGATTGAAGGTTCTGTAAAAAATATACAGTAATAAAGTGGTTAGTGGTTGTGCTACACTGAACATACGACCACTATTATACTGTCTTGCTCCATAAAGTCTTATGTATTCAGTTACAATTTATCATATTTAAGTTTGTATAACATTGAGGGCTCATGTGAAATTGGCTTATTAAATGTTACATTGCTGTATGTCATTAACTAATTTCAGTAAAACATTCCATAAAAGTTGGTCTTTCATAAGAGTCCCATATACTCGACACAAATGTAATATCACAACTGAATTCTCAATCATAGATATATTTTACTGAAATATAAATGAAAACAACTAAATGTGGTTTTAAAGAATTGTAAATACTTTAATACAATAATAACAAACTAGAATAATATTTATCATTCCTAAAAGCTCCAGCTGAAGAACAGTACTTGAGTACATAATGAAGTGTTTGGCCACTCGAGAATTAACTTATTATATAATATATAGTTTTGATGTAGACAAACCACTTTGGCAGAGCAGTAAGCTAAAGAGTATCATACGGTTAGGCTGCAGTAAGTCGTATCTGTGACAGTTTTAAAGCAGCAGTATTAAACAATTGAGGGGTGTCTTGCTAGATTTATGTTTATAAATGGCAAACTAATGCACAATGAAGTTGGGTATTGCCTGACTACTGCAGCATTTTAAATGAGGTTTGTAAATCAACACTTTAATGCTTGAATTATTGTAAGCAGATCAAAAATATAAAGTTTGTTACTACCACTTTTTACAAACTGACACTTGTCATAAAAATCTGATCACCAATGCTGCCCATTTTTGTGCTTACATCCTGTTAATGTTATTGTTCAGCAAGTGTAATAAAAACTTTTGCTTGAAAGAACTTGCAATTCATCTTTCCAATGTTTTTAGTTTTTTCTTAAATAAGGAAGATCTCATATAGAGGTGAAGGAGGAATAGGTTAAAAAAAGAGGAGATAGAACAGAACCCAGTGAAACTCCTTTGGAAGAATTTTGGTGCTGGATGTATGGTTGTCTCTAACCTGAGAGGAAATTATTATTATTTTTATTTATTTTATTTTATTTTTTTTTTACTTTTAATATTTTGTTGATTACTATGTAGTGTAGGATTATGTTGAGGGCTTTGTTGATATCAGTCTTGGTTATGAAGTGGAAGGTTGCCATTGTTATGATCTTAGACTTTACCGTGATAAAGAGTAAATGTACGGTAGAAATTTATGTGACAAGTATTTGATTAAAGTTTTACTTGGATCCTTTCAAAGTGCAGAAAATTGTCTGTGGGATATTAATAGATATTTATATACTCTGTATTGTATTGTGTTTAGGATGCCTTTCTTAGCTTGACCCTGGTGTCATATACAGCCACTAAAAAAGCTATCTCTACATGGGGGTTGATGATTTTCAGAATGACAACTGCGACTCCTGTTTTCTCAGTAGGGTTGTCAGAATCCTTCATCTGTTGTCATATTTTTGCAACACAATTTGGTATAGATAATTTTTTTAGTGACTGTACTTGGGTAAAAAAAGGACATTCTGAACATTAGATACTTGCCAAAATTGTATTCCATTGAAATAATGTGTTGTTAATGTATTTGATAAATTGTGTAGTCCTTAGACATAAAATTTTTAATTCCTTGGATGTTGTGTGTGGACTGTGTAGTTGGTTATACAAATACATTAATGGGAATGTAATGATCGTACATCTTTTTATAAACTTTTGGTAATGGAGAAACATCTTGTTACAGGACCTGGTAATGTGAACAACATAGGAGGAAGTCCAGGACAACTAAGTGGAGGAGAAACATATGATCCATCATATTGCTCTGTTAAGCTACCTCCCCCTCAACCACTGGCGCCAGTTGATTCTGCTGTTGCCGAGAGGTAAATAGTTGTAATGTGAACTATAAACATTTACTTCGTCAGTTTTTGTTTTTTAAGTTAAGTGTGATTATGTTCTGTGAGGTTCATTGTTGCAAGTTGTTGGGATTCTTGTAGAAAATATGGGTCAGATTCTAGTAGATATTTAGGAAGTTCTTTTTTTTTTGTTGCCCATGCTGCAAGATGAGGCTTTGTTTGGATCTGTTTCCCGTCAGAGCTTGTCATATTTTCACAAATGTTTTCATGTGTTTTTACAGTGATAAATTAACAGGTTTGTTATAGAAGTGAAATGATTAAAGGCTTTGAAAGGACTAATGTCATTTTGTGCTATCAAGCATTGGGGAAAGAGGAGAGATGCTCCTGAGTGGCCAAGCAAGAGCAGGCAAGTTATGATTGATCAGTGGGCTCTTGATGTTACATTCACCATGTCTCATTCCAGAAGAGACTCACTACCTGTTGTTGCCTCCAAACCATACTGCATTGTAATTTTTGTCATTTGAAAGAGTCATCAGTAAATTTCTTGTGAAACATGGTTTTAGGCTGATGATATTAGCTTGGATCTTCTACTGTAAATTGAGAAAAAATAAATATGTACAGTAAATTGTCTATATATTTTCAGATTGTTTATTGTATGCCATCCATCACCACCACCCATATACGCGCTAAAGGATGTTTTTGGAAGGTTTGGAAGTCTTATTGATATCTACATGCTAAATGGCAAAACTTTTGGATATGCAAAATATTCTTCTAAGGAATCTGCAGACAAGGCCATTGTGGTGAGTAGCTATTAATAATTTGTTTAATGTACTGTATTACAGTGGTCCCTCGGTTAATGAGTTACCTTCCATAAGATTCTTAACTTCGGTTAACGAGCAATCCCTCGATTGACGAGTTTCTTACAAGCCGACCTCCACATGTTTTAGCTTGCATTTGGCGGTCCGCCATTACAGTAATCGGTTCTAAGGCTTAAATTCCTTACCCATTTACTAAATATCAAGAAGTTTATACTATTCAATAATTTTAAAAGCTTAATATTAAATTTTTTAGTTATTTTAACAATTATTGAACATAATTGAAGGTAAGGTCACTAGTTTGTGGCACGCCATCCAGCCTGCCAACACAGCATACAGGCGTCAGTCTTTGTGTCTTTTCAGTGGAGGTAATATCTTGCTTGAGACTCTCTTCAACTAAACACTTTTTTTTTGTGTTTCCAAGCAAATTATTGGTCATTTTGAAATTTATTTTACATATTGACAATATATAATGCAGTGCAGTGTTGATTTAAAGAAAATAATCTTGAATTACACCAAGAGAACTAAAATTTTATGGGTGAAATGGCGCCATGGGGTGACTTCTCTTCCACCCCAATGCCTTCTCTTCTCCCTTCTCCTCCACCCCCATTCTAATTCCCATCATCATCATCATCATCATCCAGGAGCCTTCTACATACACACCTCAAAGTAAGTGTACTTTTTTACCTTTTTTGTTGAATTTAGGCAATTTTCGGTGAGCTGGAACCAATTACCCAAAAACCCATTGAAACAATGGTTTCGGTTAACAAATTTTTCGGTTAACGAGCAACCTTCTAGAACGGATTGTGCTCGTTAACCGAGGGACCACTGTATACTAATAATATATAATAAAAGTATGTTAACATAGTTTTGGCTAGAGGGATTCAGGTTTTTACTTGCTTTGAAAACATATCACAGATATTAATATGAGAACATGCAATAGAAAAGTAAATCAGAGGGGACCCCTACACAAATGGGTAAATATTTACAGGCATAAAAATTAAAAATGCAGTATACATACTGTAAAACAAAACTAATTTGTTCAGCAATTGCCACAGTCGACAGTCTACCAATGGCTGTTGTCTTTGCTCCAGCCCTGAATCAGTGTCTTAGCACCCCAAATGTATAATCTATAAAGTGATGGCCTTACATGTTCACTTACCACTAAGGGTTATTGCTCTTGCTCATTTACACTGGCTGGTCACTATCCTGACAATGTTGTTACAATATGCTTTTGCCAGTCAAGCTGATTTGAACATATGTATTATTATTTATTTATTTTTGTACTGTATTTGTTTATGCATTTTATTTATTTTTAATTTTTTATAAGATGTAATGGGTAAGTGGATTAACCCCCGTAAGTACATACATTAAGACCTTGATAAATCGGAATCCACTGTTTTCGGATTCTTGAGATGCTCTGGTCACCAGGAATACTATAAAAAAAATTGGGAAATTTAATTAAAAAAAAATCATGAAGTGAAGAACACTTAATGAATACTGTACAGTGGTCTAATCAGATTTGCTATAGGCCTACTGAGAAGTAAAACATGAGTATGTGAGCAGGTTGGGGCTGATCAGGTGTTGCTGCATTTGTCAGGTTTATTTATTTATTGATTCAGTATTATATTCTCATATGATTGGCCTCTTTTGGTTTATGGTTCATCATGATTAATACAACTTCTTCATTAATAGAGAAAAAATACAATACTGTATATAAATAAAAGGATAAGCTGTATCAGAAGGTTATTTACTCAAGATGCATTCGTTTGAGAGCTTACAACAGGGGTCACTAAATCACACTACAGTGGCTCTCGATTAACGAACACAATTGGTTCCACAGAGTCGTTCGTTAACCAAAAATTTTGTTAATTGAATCTATTATTTCATTGGGATATTGGGTAACTGGTTCCAACTCGCAGAAAAGGTACATAACAAAGTACTGTATACTGGTAATAGAATTAACAAAACATTAAATATAAACTAAATACAATACTGTACAGTATACTGTATAATAATAAATAAAAAACAATAGAATACTATAAGTTAATTTACTTTGAGGTGTGTGTGTCGTATTCCCGGCAGCTTTGTTTACATATCAAACAGCTGATTGTAGAAGCAGTCGATGATGACCAGTCATATTCTTTATAGTGTGTGTTGGTTCTAATGCATTCTTCATGTTTCATAATAATTTTTGCACTATAAATTATCTTTATGTGAACTAAATTTCAGAATGACCAATAATTTTAATGTAAAAATGCAAAAATATTCAAGAGACCAACAAACTGGATGTTCACTCCACTGTAAACAAAGTTAAACTGAGAAGTGTTGGTGGGTGATTCGATCAGCTGATGGGCACACAAAAACTGGTCCTTGTACTGTATATATTATCAGTGTGTTAACTAAATTAGAATGACCAATAATTTTAATAAAAATGCAAAAATATTCAAGAGACCAACTTTCTTGATATTTACTCCAGTGGAAACGAATGTAAACATAAAACCAATTACTCTATTGGCAGACTAGCCGATCAGCTGCTGCGCACAACAAAGTGTGTTTCTTGTAAGGCTTTCGTTATTCAAAGTTTTGTTCGTTAATGGAATTTCAAATCCTTATGGGAACTAATTCGTTAACCGAAATTTTGTTAATTGGACCGTTGGTTAATGGAGGGACCACTGTATGAAGATACCTTCCTAAGATAGTTATTTACTACCTTTGAGTGTTATATGACGGCTCAGTTTGGCTCCTTGTACACTTAATGAATAAACCAGGGTATATGCAGGAACATAATACTTTACACTACAATATTACTTATTAAGTGATGATAAATACACTACACTACATTGGTATTTATTGAGTGGTGATAAATACACTGCAATAGTATTTATTAAGTGATGGTAATGCACAACTACTGTACTAATTTACTAAGTGTTGAAGACAGACATTGTGGTAAGCAGATCATCTGTTTGTTCTTTGCAAACAAACGAGTATGAGAGGCACTCCGCATTAGAGGAGGTTGAAGGGCAAAATTAAAAAAGCTGAGAAAAACGCGTTTAAGTTTTATTGAAGGGCAAAGAACCATAACTTTGTTGTTTTTTAAGCTGGAGGGATAATTTATTTATATAGTGCAGCTCAATCCCTCTCCCAGCGAACAGTGAAAACTGGAAGTTAGTACTGTGAATAGTTATTATTATATCGCGAGTTGAATGAGAATAATTACCCGTCATGAACGGTTTTTGGTCTTCAAACGAACAATTATTGTGTTTTTTTGCAAAATTTTCTTATTATTGTGGGCTAATACTGTAAAACAGTTAAAGATCACCAAAAAACAACACTTGTCTTACACCCCCCTAAAAAATTAAATAAAAAAAAAACTCATTTGCCTGTCAGTATTTATCTTTCCGTCCCTATTATTAGCCAAAGATTTATGATAAGTATAATAGAGTGTAATAATGAGACACCACTCCACTTATCCCCCCACCATTAACCCCCCAACGTAATTAATGTACGAATACAAAGGCGGAGAAAGTTTGCATAATCTTTGGTAAACAGTATTATGATAATAGTACTGTACGTATTACGATCTTATATTGTTTAGTGCCTTCGTTTTATTATCCCTGAAGATCGTAGTAACTTGAAGTTACGTAAATCCTGAGGAGTGCGTATCACTTTAATGGCCTCGTCATAATCAATCACATACTGATCAACTAAATCATTGATTAATTATTGATGCCAGCAACAGTTCAGGTTCATTATAAGACTAAGTTATGGGCTCACTTTACTATTACTCGTTGGGTCAGGGTCACTTTCATCACCATCAAGGTCAATGCATGTCTCTTCACTGTCCACTTCTCCTCACAGTCTGTATGTTCTTGTTGTGATACATTAGTGTCACTGTTTGTGTTACCATTAGACTCACTTTCATCATTTTCATCTTCACTTTCATCGTCATTATTGCCGTCAGTGCATGTCACGTAACTGTACCGGCACACAGTCTGCTAAAAGGTCTTGTGATGCATAGCAGTCACTTTTTGTATTATGAGTATACCAAAATCACTATCACCAAGCATTCCTGAGGTGTCCATGTGAGCACTGTCTTCACTAAACACACACTCAGGAATAATAGGCTCCTGAACCCACACCAGAAGGCCTGGCCTCACTTGAGTCTTGCTCTAATATCAGGCAGATATGTTCTCACACCTGTGGAACACGAATAACGTCAATTTTACGCCGAAAAGTTATCAAAAATAGCAGTAGAAAGTACACTGAACCTCCTTATACTATGCAACATGCCAAAACTAACAAGGAGGCAGCATCTGGGCGTGGGGATTGGCTGAGGAGCTGTGATGTAGCAAGGGGAAATCCACTGTGATTGGCTGCCTAAGGGGGTATGGTCCGAGGGAGGCACGCTGTCATTGGCTCGCGCTCCTCTCGCTCTGAACGGGTTGTTGCCACCTTCTTTAACTGAGCGCACAGCCAGATACGTAGCTCCCGGCCTGAGGCAAAATCACACTTTATTTTTTAAGGAATTTCTACCATATTTCTATTCTAGCTAGAGGGTTACATCCAACGCCAACATGTAGAGGAAGGGTGAAAATAGTGATATCCATGAAAAACACATTTTGGCCGGTGTGTTGCTTCGTCCGCTTGTAATGCTGAGCACCTCATGAAATGACTCGTGTTCAGTGTGGGATTCTTTAATCAGGAAAGCTGATTCTTTTAGGATAATAATTTATCAACCTGGCACCAAATGATCCAAAATTTTATGAGAATGGTGGTGGAATTGCATAAAGAAGTGTTAAAGGAATCTTGGGGGAGAGGGGGAGGAAGCCACCCACCCATGCAATCACCCCCCCCTCTGCCAGCTGCTCCCAGATGAACATTCATCTTTCACATACAATATACTCCTTCACTTATTTGTTCTTATTTTTATCTTTATAGTACTGTACAGTATACAATTATCTCTATTCATAAGACAAATTCTATGGTTACTTACATATAACACTTTACAGTAAATAACAATCATCTTGGTGACAACAGAGTTGTTGACAACCAGACTTGCATGTCTGATTTTCAACCCAGAGAGTTCTGTTTCATATATTTTTTCTTTATTGTTGATGTAATATTCTTTTAATAATCTTCTTATACTTAAAGACCTTAATTGTTGAAGTGCAGTAATGACTTAACAGTTTCTTTAAACCCACGTATATTCTCTTTTTCCGAACTTTCGCATTTTTCAGATTGGGGTCTGCCCCAATTACTCTGATTTATCGAAGTTCTACTGTATAGCTATTTATCAGAAAAAAGTATTGGAAAGGTGCCATTTTTTACCACCATTAAATCAAAATATCTAAGTTGTTATAATTCATAGGATACTTAGACCAATATTTGTTTTAACTTAATTCTTTTCAGGTGTTACATGGGCAAGAGGTACTAGGCTCCCGGTTGAAGGTAATGGAGGCTGACCCACACGACAAAGCCGATTCTGGTCGCAAGAGACTGCGCATCGATGATCAGAGTTGAGCAAGCTCACGCAAAGAGGTATGGAGCATATGCCGTAATGTTTTCAAGTGAAGGTTTATCAAAGTGGTAATTAGACTGCATAAAAGAAGGTATTAAGGATTAATTGTTCTCCCTTGATGGGATTCTCCTCCTACAACCATGTAATTAATGGTTGTAAGAAGATAATGATAAATAGTTTGTATTCTTATTCTAAATTGTGATGCTTCAATTTGATATGTAAATATTTATCGGGAGTGCAATTCCTACATCATATTTCAATTGTTTTACATTATTTTGTAATTGCAAAGATTTTGATTCTAATATGTAGTTCATTGAGGTGACAAACATTCTGCCTCACTCTCCATGACTGTACATAGTTTAGGACATTTTTTTTTATTTTTTTTTATTTATTTTTTATAAACACTGCATTATTTAGTAAATTGTTCTATGCAAACACAGTTGTAAATATTTAGCATGATAAGATACAGTATATTAAAAGGTTTACTCCTGTCATGAAATGGGCCAGACTAAAGTTTTGGTGATTTTGGCATGCATTGTGTACTGTACCGGGTTTTCTCCCTGTCCTGAAATTGATTAGAAAATAATTTCACTGTTTTAGCATGAATTAACTGGTAACAAATTTCTGTACTTCATTAAGTGTTCAGCATGCATTGCATAATGCATTTCTACTGTACTTAGCAAATGTGTATGTATTTTCATATTACAGTTGTGTATATTTTGATATTGTTCTCATTCCAATAAGATTTGCAGTTGTAGTCTCTCTTTTTTGTATTTTGTTTTGCATAATATAAGACTAGACATTACTGTGACAGGCTGTGATATTGATATCTGTGATAGGGAAACATGGCAGCAGCATGTTGATAATGGGACACACATGGCACGATAATATGAAGTGTACTCTGGTTATTGTGTGTGCATCTGTAGTATATATATATATATATATATATATATATATATATATATATATATATATATATATATATATATATATATATATATATATATATATATATATATATATATATATATATATATATATATATTCCATTGCATGAAACATTCCAGATTTTTTAATGTATTTCATGGTAATAGATCATACCTTCTATTAATATGCATGGCCTTATTGGTACCCCCTCCCCTGAGTTTTTTTTTCTTCATTTGCATGAAGATCAAAGCATGATAGATTATACAGTAAGTGACAACGAGATAAGTATGCAGTACAGTACTGTTAGATCAATGAAAAGTGACTTAGGTTGTTGGTATAATTAATAAATTTAATTAATTGTTTTTTAAATGGTTAAGTAATAATAGTATATATGATGCTTTTTCTAAAGCATGTGTTAAATGTCATGAAAATATAGTACTGTACATCCATCTATAACATTTGTTTCTCGCTGTAATTAGTTTGTGGATATAAAATTTTTGCATGCAGTATACTGTAGATGCTTCTGGCTTCCAGAAACAGGATTATGTCCCAGCAAATTATTCCTGCCACCCAGAACTCAGTACTGTTCATATTGTCAACGACATTTAAGGTCTTGCACACACTTAATCACTGTGGAGATTGCACTTTTATTTACCAAGAGTAAAACTGCAGACAATTATTACGTGAAGAATTATATAAATAAAAAGTGGCTCATCAATGCTCTTCAACCTGCTGTCATAACTTACCCCAGGAATACCCCATTTGGATGAACTTCTGAGCTTAATATTTATTCTAATTTCATTTGTTTTACTTAAGAGTTTTTTTTTATTCTTTTTCCCTATTTGATATTTTGCCATTTTTTTAAGTTAAAAAACTGGTTTTGGTGGATGCGACCACTATGTATGTACTTCCTTGTGGATATAAGGAGCGTCACCCTGACCTTAAGGGTTAATGTACTCAATGTAATTTTGGTATCTCAAGTGGTTTATGAACATGATCTGCAATAATTTCACTGTTTAATGTAAAAGGGTTTGTTAATGCAGTACAATATTGGGATTTGTCTTGGTGACATTTAACTTGCCTTCTGTAAAGAATCTCTGGCTTTTGTAATAAGCTTATAACGGGTTCAACAACTATGAACTCGAGTAGATTGACATTATAGGCATGCAGTAACCCATTTGTGGACTTTAATAATGTGAAAAGATTTTTGTGGTTGTATTATGAGGTTGTAAAGAAATTGTGGAGTACAGTAGTACTGTACTGTCTACAATTACCCTGAGTCAGAAGACAAAAAAATTATTGTAGCCTACTTAAGTATGTTCATATTTTCTCATTAATGTTTCCTCAGTGTTACGTGTACAGTCCTGCAGGAACGATTTATGTAGTGTGTGTACTGTTATTTTTTTTAAAAGTTTAGCATAAAGTTGTGATTTTAGCTTGTTATTCTGAATTTGTTAATTTTACAAGGTATCAAGTAATGCTAACCTGACATGTTAGTGGCAGGTATAAGGGAACATATTTGACTTAATATTCAGAGGAAATAGCCATGTGTATAGTTCTAGTAGTCTGTCCAATTACTTCATTCCAGCATTTATATATCATTCTTACTATGTAGAAGTAACTTGATTATTAGTTTCTATTGTTAAAAAAAATTGTGTGAAGTTCTTATCTTGACATTTTTTTTTAATACCTTGTACTATAAAACCTTTAAAGAGAAAAGTTCCATAGAAATCCAACTCGGAAGGTTATAATCCCAAAATATAAAAGTATATGGTAAACAACTTAAACAGCGGCTATATTTATTTTCTCTTTAAATTAAAATCTATGCCATGATCATGGAGTTAGGTTAGGTTTGTTCATATGTACTACCATAAATAATGAATTTGTGTATAGTCAGTGGTATACATGGTCAGGAAAAATTGATAAGAACTGGACCTGGTCAGTAGCAACAGCCCTTCACTTTGTCATGTTTCATTTGGTATTGTGGGATGTATATCTGTGTGTGTGATTGTTATAATATACTGTATATATAATTTTTTTGATAGTTGATGTACAGGTATACTGTGAAGAGGGTCCCACAGGCCTGAAGGACCATTTGGAATATTGGGGATATATTATGCTGAATGCTAAGCTTTTGGTACACACACAGGCAGTGCAGCAGGCACTGTGCTCGATCACCTTCACTTCCCTTACTGTAAAAACAAGTATCCATTCACTGGTCAAACCAGTAACACTACGATAAGAGGCAAACAATGTACCCACTTAGCTGTCACACCCCTTTTATGTAATACTGTAATGTATAACCGTTTTTAAGAGAATACATATTCTTGTATCGAAGACTTTGTAGTAGATTTTCCTGATATTAATAAAGATATGTGGTTAGATATTTCACAAACTATTAATGAAAGGTGATTAGAAGAACTGCACACAAGGACATACAAACCAAGAGGTTAATCAGAAGTTTGTCTTATGGCTACCAATTGTTGTGTGGCATAAAATTGGATTGAAGCATTGGACTAGAGTCTATACTAAGGGCTATGGTTGACTGACCTATATTTTTATTGAAAAATTTTGGTGACTGGCTTATTATTTTAATGAAAATATCAAAGGAATGGACCTTTTTGTTCTATTAGGAAATTTTTAAATGATTGACTTTTTCTTTTCATGAAAATTTAAGTGAATGGCACTTACTAGGGATGTCATTCTAGAATCTAGATTTTGTATAGAATGTAGCAGTAAGTTAGAATGACAAGAGTTGTAGATGGAGAAACTCAATGTTCAGTACCTGTTTTGTAGCTATTTTGATCTTATTGTAATTCTACAATTTTGTATGCACATTATATTACTGGTGCAATAAATGCTGATTTCTACAAAGTTAATTGCATAATTAATGAAAATTACAGATAGTGAAAGGAAGAGTTTGAACTGGTCTTGGTTTTCATGAGGAAGTAGATGAGTTACATGTGGACAGTCATGTTGCTTGGTGTACTGCATGTGGCAGCTTTTATATATATTGTTTGATGAATAAATGTTTTTGTCAACAGCATGGTATAGTTCTACTGCTTCTCTGCATGACTGGTGATGGAAAAGTATATTCAGTATTAATGGTTTCTCATACTTCTGCTAAATATTTTTAAGAGTAAACTGAGTTTGTCTTAAAAGCACTGACACAGTTTTATTTTGAAATGGGAAAATAATCTTAAATAGCTTAAATTTGTCATCAGTGTTGTATAGTACTATTACTATGTGCATGTTAAGTTACATGAACAACCTAATTTATTTATTATGTAAGTGTATATAGATATATTTAATATATAGGTATGTTATACATTGGGCAGTGCATTAGCCTGAAATTTTGTTGTGAATTGTGAATGGGTTTACATATTATGAACTAAATTTAAATGAGATATGAATTCATTTTTACTGCAGTGACTAACATAGGCGACCTATCCCAAATTTGACTGAATCGGCAGTTCTTGGGTTTTACTGAATTATCTCATTTCCACAGCAGCGTGTTGACATCGTGACTACGCCGACCACACAACGGACAGTTACGGACAGCCAACACAGCGACCTAATACTACCCTAACCAACCAACGATCCAATGAACCAACCAACCCCTTGTACCTTTAGACAACCACCTCCAACAGTCATGTTCCCAGTGACGCCCAACACTTTGTGTAACAAACTCGCAAACGACTTGCCCATGAGGCTGCAGTGCACATGTGACTACACACAGGTGACTTAATTGTAGATGAATGTTTGTGCAGGCATCTGTACATGCATGACGTCAGATTCTTTGCTTTTTTCTTTGTCCTTTTTTTTTATTATTGTTCTACTAGTAACGGGGGGAGGGGGTGTTGTTGAACTGGTTAAGCAAACTACTTTTTTTTTTTTTTTTTTTAATATCCATGATAACTAGTATCCTGTTTTGAATTTCAAATTATAGAATGACTTCTGAGTATTTTCATGAAGGAAAACAATGATGTACAAGGTTCACTTTTTATGTATGGAGATCAATTGACTGTGGTGTACTGTATCATGTAAAATGCAATGCATTATAGAATAGAAGCAAATATCCAGTATATTGAGCAAACCTCAGTATTAAAATTAGGTGTAGTATTGCTCCACCCTTCATTTGTTTTACTAGCAGTCGGGGTTGGTGCAGCACTGTTATGAAAAAGTTTATCAGCTCATTAATTTGGATAGTAAGTGGATTACCGTATGGTTCCATGTTTGTCATTAGATTTTGAGGTTTTTTGTACATTCACACCTAAACCTTTTTTGTACTGAAGGCAGAAACAGTTATGAATTGAAATTTTATTTACTCTATACTGTATATAGTTTTTAGTCTTCTTCCACATTCATATTTGGTATGCCTTTAACTGAAAGTCATTTTAAGTTGGTTGTATCAGGTTATTGTGGATACCATGATTGAAAATTATATGTTGAAAATTTAAACTTGTAGTTGTTAAAATTTGACAGGACAATCTGTTGAACTTTTGTCCAACCAGAGAAGAAAAATCAGTTTTACCTGATTGTTGTTCATGGGTTAGTTTTGCTGTGTATGATGTGGTTTTGCTGTCATGCCTCACATTCCAATTCCATCTGGGTTTTATAGCAGCTTTGAATGTGTTTCATAGTGTTATTGTGTCTCACTCAGCAGGGGATAACAACTTTATAAAATTTAAATTTGTCACTTCACCCCAGAACATGTTCAATTTAAATTCTAAAATAATTTAACTTTGAAACGTATATAAGTTGGATTCTGGGGCAATAGTCCGCTTTTGAACTTAAAAGATTAGATTATAAAGGTCATTAAATTTTTTTTTTTTTTTTTTTTTTTTCCCAAATTTAAATTCTCACATTGACATTGTACTTTTTGTTTGGTAGCACCAGGTATAAAAATGTTTGTTGGATAATACTTTTGGTTTGTATGGAATATCTTGATGGCTTTGATCTGGTATAAGTCTGTTAAATTTGTTGGATATTATTGAAGAAAGATTTTGTGTAATAAAGATTATATCTTTATTGTTAAGCAGCTTGTTAGATATAATGTATTGCATGGTGTTGCTAATGTAAACTGCATCCTTTTTAATTATTCAGTACCTAAGTTAAGGCAATTTTGGCAGTAATTTTTAAGTTGCATAAAACTAAAAGTATGCAAACTTTATTGGAGTCATGTGTAAGAAATTAATAATTTTCTTGTTTACCCTAAGCCAGTCAGTCACATTGTGTAATTCATGTTTTTTATTTTTATTTATTTTAAGGAATTATATATATATATATATATATATATATATATATATATATATATATATATATATATATATAATATAATATATATATATGTATATATATATATATATATATAAATATATATATATATATATATATATATATATATATATATATATATATATATATATATATATATATATATATATATATATATATATATATATATATATATATATATATATATATATATATATATATATATATATATATATAGTGGGGTATGCTATAACGAATCTAATTGGTTCTAGAACCTTGTTCGTTATAGCATTCGTTCGTTATAGGATTAATCGTTCCAGGCCCCCAAATACAACCACTTAACACTGAAAAATATAATATAAAATTGTAAAAATTGTAAAAAAGTGCATAAATATGCATCTAAACCCCTGAAATAATGAGTATCATTAATACTTGTAATAAAAAAACAATAAATTAGTAAAAAAAAAAAAAAAAAAAAATAAATAAATAAATAAATAATGTTCGTTGTAGGAGTTTCGTTCGTTATAGCATTCTCAATTTTATAGGTAAAACCGTTCGTTATAGGAATATTCGTAGTAGGATCCGTTCGTTATAGCATACCCCACTATATATATATATATATATAATATATATAATATATAATATATATATATATATATATATATATATATATATATATATATATATATATATATATAATATATAATATATATATATATATATATATATATATATATATATATATATATATATATATATATATATATATATATATATATATATATATATATATAGTATATATATATATATATATATATATATATACATATATATATATATATATATATATATATATATATATATATATATATATATATATATATATATATATATATATATATATATATATATATATATATATATATATATATATATATATATATATATATATATATATATATATATATATATATATATATATATATATATTATATAATATACAGTATATATATATATAATATCTTTTTTTACTGCTTTCAATAGCAACTATATTGACTTAATGACTCAGCAGACAGACTTGGGAACAGACTCAAAGATCTGACAAATACAGTACTGTACAGTCAAAATCCCAGAACCCAACCAAGAGACAATATTTGAATGGATGTGTTCTAGTAGTTATCCAAATTGGTTTTACTGGCATGAAGACTTCAATTTTTTTGCTGCTATGTCTCATTTTGTTGGCTGTAGTTTGTATAGATATAATGGCTGCCACTCTTCATGTATATCACTCAATAGTGGCTTTGATGTTACCATGCCAAGATGAACTTTTGAGGGTTCTGGCTTTCTGACCCAAAACCAATAGACCCAACAGTACGACTGAGGCAGAGTTTACACGATAAGAACCGTAATGGAACTTTAATTCTAGCGAATCATTAGACCTGTGGTTACTGTTTTGCAACACCAGTTTCCTTCACTGTTTTTATAATGTGAACTGGCCATGACTTGGATCACTTGTACCTGTTTGGGAACTAAGTCATTGTGTTCAGTCATTTTTTAAATGATGGGCCATGTGTCCCTGAAAATTATTTATGTATATATTTATTGAATTGGTGAGAAAGCCATTTATTCTTGGTCACCAAAGGTGCACAAATAAAAATGAAATAGTAGTACAACTGCATTTCCATGAAACTGCTAATGTTCTCTTGTATTTACTTTTTTGTTTTGTGCCAGGAATAAGCTAAAGATTTTATTTGCCCCAAGCTTGGTTGTGTGTTAAATACTGATGTAAATAGTCATTTTTGTGGAAATTTATTTTAACTTTTAAGTATCAGCCATTTGCAGATAAATACACAAAACACAAGGACAAAGTGTTTGTGTATGTTAGGCTGAAACAAGCAACCGAGTAAGAAAGATCCCCCTTGGAGAATTCCATGTATTTTCATTTAGAAAATAAGGCTTATATTTACATAAAGTATACAGGAAGTAACAATAAAACAAACACCTACTGTTTATTTTATTACCCTATTAGTGTATTTTACTGTACTATACACATGTACTGTAGTGAATTCAACATGATACTGTTATATTGGTACGGTATAACAAGGTGTTCAAGGAACAAGTGTATTTTAAATAACTATACTGTATTGTACATACTGGTAGTTGTATTTTTAGCTGACGATTTTCTTTTCTTAAATGACACCTTCACCTGAGTATGTGGTGTTTACACCTGATTCTGCTATTTATAAAATGGTCATTATTACCTTCTGCTTAATATGCTTGGTGTTATTTGTCTTGATATATATAATAATTGGTGAAAAAGAGTAATAGTGGGGAGTTGTTCTCAAAGCATGAATTTGTTTGACTTTGATGGTAAATATTCTTTATTTCGATTTTTTTTCCACTCATATCTTGAAAGGTAATGTTTTCAAGCAGTAATATCTTTACAAACATTAAAGTGAGTCAGATTTGGGTAACCTTGATAGTTTTTCATATGCATTTATTTGTGATATATCAATATTAATTGAATATGTATGAGCTGTAAGGGTGGTAGGGCTTGTACCGTTAGCTAAAAAAATATAAAAAAGTGTCAACCCTTAACTGTTGGGTAAGTTTCCCTGCAGTGTATATGTGCAAAAATTAAATGCAAGGACCATGAAACCTCTACAGATGACAGCTGCCATTTAAGGGTGAGGAGTTTCTTCCATTGCCATCTCTACTCATATGAACATTGTATTTTTGACTGCAGTTATTATTTGTATCATCTGATTTGCAGTGTACTGTACTACAGTATGTGCACAAGACTTTAAACATAGAGAATTAATTTCCCTCGACCATAATTGCACGGCATAGTATTTAATTAGTACTTAATGTGTGCCAGTTCAGTCTTAGTCATCAAGAAAGAAAATTTTGAAAGATTGATGATGAAGTAAGTTACTCCAAAAAGCATTTATTTATCCTGTGGCATTTTAAATTTTTTTACATTGTTAGAAAAGGAAATAAGCTGAAAAGACAAAATAATACATTACACCTGAATTTGAGTGATGACATGATTAAACATTTAATAAAAATGAAATATACTATCACACCTCAATTTTTGCTGTAGCTACAATACCTGAAATTTTAGCTCTTGTCATAACTCAAAGTTATGAACCCACAATATTTTTGAGGTGTTGTGTACTGTATTGTACTACCAAACTCCTAAATACAATACTGTGGCCTCTAATTGCGCTAGAAGAATAATTTAAATTGCACTTGAAAGGTATTTTGGCAAAAAAAATACTGTACATAAAACCTAAATTTCATACAGTACAGTAATTAATAATTTTAGGGGCTCAGTTCCCATCTCGGGCCAATTTCTTTTTCATCAATGAATTTCAAGCTTATCTAAATAAGAAACAATATTGTAGTATTAATACTCTGATCATCATAGGATGGAAAGCATAAGTAATTTTAATATCAGGCTGGATATTTGTACTCGACATACACCAAATTATGTCACTTCCTTTTCCAATACAGTTTACAGATTATCCTCTCTGGAACTTCTACAGGTAAGAAAGCAAATTTGATAGTTGCCAAATTCTTCTGAACTGTCCAAAATGATCCCAAGCTGAACTACAGTAGTACAGTATATGTCTGCTAGTCATATTGGCCAGTGCTTGTATGACACCTTTGTTTTTTATCAAGCTATCCTTGCCTTCTTTAGTACATCTTTCACTGAATGAATTAAGTTACATGAACCTGCATCTGCTAAAACGTTGTCAAACCTTTCAATAGAAAATTATTGTTGAATTAAAGAACAAGAATAATAAAAAGCTACAGATGTCGGACTATGACAAACATCAGTTTGTTACAGATTGGCTTTTACTGCTTTACCAATACCACCACAATCATTTTTACCATGATGTGGCAAAGAAAACAAACACCAAAATCCTCCTCTTGATAGCAAAAATTGAAGAAGTTAAACCTAAACTTTTTGTTTGCAATTACTGTTCTCATATCTTTCATTACATATTGCTGGAAAGTATAAACGGCTGATGTTGTATAGTAGGTAATAATACAGTACCGGTAAGTACAGTATGTAGTGTGATGTTACTTCCCATCTGCCAGAATTTTTTATTTTTCATAATTTATGTGGTTCATTACTTTGATAACGGGGCGAAAATATAATAATAATAAATAATAATATCTATTACAGTATTATTATTATTACAACAATTAATAGAATTAATAGCAAATTAATACAAATAAAATAATAATAACGAAAAAATAAATCAAGAATGAGAAACGATATACATTATGTATGTTGTGTTGTCCAAGTAAGAGAAACAATTGAGACCCTGCAATTGTGTGTAAATGAGGCTGAAAGTCAGATCAGTAACCTGGGACTTGGTCACAATTTTCGTGATGCCATATGGCAGCAGGGTCTACCATTAGACAACACATTATGCTTCCAACGTCTTCCCAGGCGGTAGTACCTCCTTGATTGGTAGCTGCTTACTACCTGCAAAATTATGGGTATGGTCTGTAATTTGATGCTATTTTCTTCTTAGCAGTACAGTACTACTGTCAGTAGTGCATAAGGCGAATAATTATTCATAAAACTCTTCTTCAAGCGGGTAGTAACGGAACAGTAACTTGACTAACCCTGTTTCAGCTAACAAGTTAGATCTTGTTGAATAACTTCTTTTTTTGTAGCTACCACTGGAACAATCTACCCCTAATACAGTATATACAGGGTGTTCTGTAAATACCCTTCATAATTCAGGGGGTGTACTCCTGAGACATAAATAAAGATAAATTACTTAATGACCAAATTGTCAATAGTTTAGGAGTTACAGCTCATGACAGGTTTGATGGGAATGTGATGAAACCTAAGGTTACCTGACTTAATCCCCTTGATTTCTACCTGTGGGATCACATAAAAAGCAAGGTGTATGTTACAGAGGTTCGCAAACTGTGAGGAGTTGTGGCGCCGTGGCACCCGTGGGCCTTGGGGTCTGTGGGGTATGAGATTGTTTGGTTCACACTCAGGATGGGATGGAGAAAGGAAACTCACAATGTGCTCTCTATATACATGTTGTATTGGATGTACAATGCAGCTTGGTGCTGGGAAGGCAGCATGGTTACAAGCGTGATGTAGAGAGAGCTGGTTGGTGAGGACGCTCAGAGAAGGACAGCTTGTGGGTCGCCATGCTCGCCAGCGGGAGAGAGGACCGCCAGGCAGGCGGAGGAGCGAGGACCGCCAGGCAGGCGGAGGAGCGAGGACCGCCAGGCAGGCGGAGGTGTTGCTGGCTGGTTGGTGTAGGTAGAAAGAGAGACAGATCACCACGAGGTCAGGTCTTAAATAGCGGGGGTAGGCGTGGCTTAGCAGTTGACCCCCGCTCCGTGGTGTATGGCGGCGCTGGTTGACCTAGACCACGAGGCATACACTGGGGAATTGGTGGGGTCGGCTAGGCAGCGACAAACAGCGTTTGTAGGGGAGAATTCCACTACAGGTCTCTGAACGTGTGCGACGGGCTGAGCCCTGCATTGAGCAAGAGGGGCGGAACATGAACATTTCCCATAAATGTTAATACCAATACAAATCATATGGTATTATTATTGTTAATAAACGTCACTAGCACAGTGTATTGGATGTTTCATATACGAATCCAGGTAAAAAAGTCACAGGTAAAAAAGTCACAGAAAAAAGTCACAGGAAAAAGAGTCACAGGAAAAAGTCATAGGAAAAAAAGAAAAGTTAACTATCGAATTCTCATTTTTTAAGGTTAATATGTCAATCAGTTTCAGTAACCTAACCTAACCTAACCTTTATTACCGGCCACCATAAATTAATTGACTTTTTTCCTGTGACCTTTTTTCCTAGCCAAAATTGTGACTTTTTTTCTGTGACTTTTTTCCTGTGACTGCCACCTCATATACACCCCATATAGGTTTCATCACATTCCTACCAAGCATGTCAAGTGCTGTAGCTCCGAAACCACTGAGAATTGACAGTTTGGTCATTTAGTCATTTATCTTTATTTGTGTCTCAGGAATACACCGCCTAATTTATGAAAGGTATTTACGGAACACCCTGTATAATGGAATCAAATGCCTCTTGGATTTTACACCCCAATTAACCCCATCTTATATACAGATACACTAAACTTAGTGTAACTGGAAAGGCATCAGTATCAAATTTAGAATATCCTAATAAAAAAATGAAACGCCTGCTATTTTTTACCGCTTGATAGTAAAACAAAAATAAAGGACATCGCATGAATTAACAAGCGGTTGCCTGTCATTGGTGGAGGTTGTGGGCGTGACAGTCAATTTACGTCATTGAGAGGGATGGATGCCTAGGTGGCTCTCCACTACTTACCACACCACTACCAGGCAGTATGATGCCGGGAGTCGTCAAACCAAACGGCCACGCAGTCTACACTCCCATTTCCTTTATATAAACGAGGAGTTTCGCCATCCATTTGGCAATATAACCATTACATATCACTACCAACTATTGAGGTCAGTACTAAATACATGAACTACTAGTGATCTGTAAGCTTCTCTGGCCTACATCATACTGCGACTTTTATTTGATCTTATTACTCATCCGAAATGGTATTTTATTTTGTGACGGTGAATACAAGTGATTATTAATATAGTGTAAGTGTTGGGAGAAATAGTTGAGCAACGGTAAGGCAATAACAGTCACGTGTTACTATAATAGTTTCATTAGTTATATTTTCTGATAGTTAAACCATTTTGAGCTGAGAAAATTGAAAATTACTGTTGTCTTAATTTCTGTTCTCAATGATTTAAGAGGCTTTTTACACTAATTATATAAATGAGCAAGTTTATGCTGTTCTTGAGATGTGAAAATGTACGAGGATATTCAGGAACATGAACAGTTGAAGATGAAACAAAAAGAAGAAAAAGAATAAGAAAATAACTTGACAACTTCGTGTATGTTATCTGAAAGATGTTCTGACTTATATTTTATATTATAATCGTTTATCTCTTAAACGTTCATCTTTCGCATCTTATAATAGTAACGGACTTCATTTTTATTAATACGGAATACAGTATAGATCAAATGCAGTAAATGAACCAACACCGGTGATCTTATATGAAAAAAAATATTCATTGATATGTCGTAAACACTCTTATAATATTATTTGAACTAATTATTGAATATCATATAATTGTAAAATTCGTTTCGTCCTTTAGCTTGGCATAATTCATTGGTTGCTTTGTCTCAATAATAGGCAATTTATACGCAATCGCTCTGGTCATGTGTCATTTATTCAAATAATATCAGAACAGAAATTCATATATCGTAGATGCTAGACCTTGGCAACAGAGTCGAAGAAATATTGAATGGTTTAGTGAACATGTGTAAGAGAAACGAGTACAGTAATTGTTTACATTTCTTGTGCTCCTGAACCAGCAACTGTAGCACATTTCACCATAGAAGATAAATGCTTTCATACTTAATGAAAATTGCACAAAGTGGACAAGGTAAACGTTTCTCGTAATACTTTTACAACCTACTTGGTAGTTTTGTTCGACACCATTTTTTTAAATATCTCTAGTAAAATATAAGTATCTTAATAAAAAAATATTGATTACTTCAGAAAGAAAAGCAGAGCGTGTGAAGATTTTTAGAAGATGGAATATACTGTGTCACTGTACATAATTATTACAGTTGAGCCTCTGCTGAGCTGCTACCAACGTGTACTGAAATAAACGTCTTAAAGGCAATTTTGGTGTATTTTACGTACGGTTCCGTATCTCTTTTCCCATATTTTATAGAATGATACATAGCGAAAACGATATTTACTTGTAATTATCGGTCCTATCTCACAAAATATCGAAGGTCTACTGTATATGGATTATATGAATTTTATATATAAAATATTTACAATTACCTGTCCGCAGAATTGATTTCACGCTCTCTGCTAGTCCATGAAATTGAAGTTTGGGAACCACTAATTCTAGGTCATCAGCCTCGCCGAATCAGAACGAATGCCTGACAAATGGCGGATGTAAAGGCCCGTGACCGGTCAAATATCCACTTTGAATACAAAATTAGTTTCTACCCCAAGTTAGATACAATGTATGTTCTTATTTCTCACATAGTATATAATCAAATGCAGTCAGCACGTGTACAAATTATCCCCTTTTATTAAGTTTATCGTCTTTCAGGTCCAGATTCGCACCATATAATCATGAAGATATCAGTTTTGATTGGTGTAGTGTACTGTGTGACGCCCCTTGGTTGCCAGTGGAGGGCAGATGCTGGTACACTCACACCAACGCCAGGGAACACACAATCTGCGCTCCTACTCCACGAAGAAAACATCTTCTGGGGTGGTGGTTGCTGCCCTTCCACACCCACAACAAAGACCTCTGGAGAATGTCAGTGAAAATATTAATCTCGTGCACTTACCTAGAATAGATTCAGATACATTAATTGAGAATATATCCTCAGAATTTTTTTATGACGGTAGAAATTATTTAAATATCAAGAGCAATGACCTTGAATTGTCTGAAATCTCTACTCCTTTAAGAAAATATTGGCTGACCTATTTCAATATGCTCAAATTATACTAAATGAAAAAAATTATACAGTCGTTACAGACAACTCTTCCCAAGTAGAAAGAATGGAGACGATTTCTGTCAAAAGCGCTGGTGGGTCATCATTGAACGACTTACAGGAGTTGAAACTTCAGGTTAAGTCATTAGCAACTGAGGTGAAGATCTTTGTTGACGGTAGCAGTACGTCGGGCGTCCTCCCACACTTCTGACACAGCACCGGCCTCTGGTAAGTTAACTTTAAGGTTTTCTGCTGCATTGGGCAGCTCAGTAACTGTCGAGCTTATTTACTGAGATCTATAGTTTGACCAATTAGTGACGCAACTTGACACATATTCTTGGTCATTCTTGTTTACATTCACTTTAAGAATGGAGGAACATGGAAGTTATAATTACACCCATGCCATGAATATACTAATTTCTGTAATAATAAATATTTTTAACTAGCTCTTGTTCCAACCAATGTTGTAAAGAATAAGTAGTAGTTGAGCTTATGTAAACTAGCTTATTTATTTACATTTGTTATTTAATTTCCCGAAAGACCTGGTTATCTTGCTCAAGTGTGGAAACTGGCCGTAAAATGTTGGTAATGACATGAATATTAAATATGCAGCAGTTGGACGTTCCTTTCTTAACATGAAAACTCGGAAATATAAGGTATGGCAACAATCATTATACGAGGCTATTTCCTTCTGTATCTTAGTGATAGTTAACATATTTGGCCATAAGATATTAAAAATGTCCAGTCTTGTTGAGTAACGCATAAACAAGAGGTACAGGAAAAAACACATCACAAAAATATTTCTAAAGCGGCTCATCTTCGACTAGTCTGTGGCAATGCGTGACTAATGAGTACAGCATTACAGACGAATGTGGGCGGTTACTGGATTGATGTTAATTAAAAAAAAAGGTGAGTTCTGAGAAAACAACACTTATCTTCTTGGAAACTTTTTTGTCTCCGTGGTTTACGAACATTGTCTGTTAGCATTGTTACCTTGTATGAAATCATACTATTCATTAAATGAACATACGATCATAAAAATGGAGGAAACTGCAGCGGGCCTATTGGCCCAAACTGGGAAGTCCCGTTTACACCCAACCCCTACCGCTCATATCCGTCCAACCTATGTTTGAAGGTACCCAGCGTGTTCGAGCTTATGTTGTTTGGTAACTTGTTCCACTCATCCACTACTCTATTTCCAAACCAGTGTTTACCTATCTCGCGCCTAAATCTAAATTTGTCTAATTTTAAACCATTGTTACGAATTCGTTCCTGGTTAGATAATCTAAGTACTTTTGTTATATCACCTTTGTTTAACCCTGACTTCCATTTATATATCACAATCATAATTATCGCCCCTACCTCTACGTCTTTCGAGGGAGTGCAAATTCAAGTGCTTTAATCTGTATCTGTACTCAAGGTTCCTAAAACCCGGGATTAGTCTTGTCACCTTCCTCTGTATGTTTTCTAGGGATTCGATATCTATTCTGTAGTACGGTGACCAAAATGAACTGCAAAACCCAAGTGAGGTCTCACAAGCGTAAGATATAGTTTTAGGATGACCTCGCTAGTCTTGTCATTAACATTCCTTCGTATGAACTCAAGTACTTTGTTAGCCTTGTTTCGAGTAAATATGCATTGTTGTCTTGGTTTAAGATTTCTACTCATCATTACCCTAAATCTTTCTCAGTCGTACTTCTCTATATCAACATTGTTCATCATTCTGATATCTGGTTTCTCTTTTTACATCTCTTAGGCTTAGTACTTTACATTTATCCACATTAAATTTCATCTGACATTTTCAGACCATGCAAAAAAGTTGGTTAGATCTTCCTGTAGTTTTGCGGAGTCCTCGTCAGATTTAATTATATGGCCTATTTTAGTGTCATCAGCAAATTTACTTATGTTGCTGTCTACGTCTATATCTATGTCGTTTATGTATACGTATAATAAATAGTAATGGTCCAAGTACTGAGCCTTGGGGTACAACAGTAGTAACGTTACCCCACTCGGATTTAGTGCCATTAATGCTGATTCTCTTTCCTGTCCTGTAATCACACCCTAATCCAGTTTAGAACATCTCCAATTCTGTGTGCCTCCACTTTACATATTAGTGTTTCATGGGGGACCCTGTCGAAGACTTTGCTAAAGCAAAGGTAAACCACATCTTAATCGTGCCTGTCATCCACTGATTCGAAAACAGTTGAAAATAGTGTTAATAGATTTGTCAGACATGAACGCCCACTTGTGAAGTCTTACTGGGAATCATTGATCAATTTGTGTTTCTTAAGGTCATTTCGAATTGAGTTTGAAATTATTGCTTCCAGTAATTTGCCTACAATTGATGTTAAAGTAATTGGACAGTAGTTAGAGGAGAGTGAACCATCTCGCTTCTTGAAAATCGGTATCACATTCGCTATCCTCCAGGATTCTGGTACCACACCCGTTTTTAATGAATTGTTAAACAAGTTTGCTATGGGCATACTAAGTCCTTCTTTACATTCCTTTAATATGGGTGGCTGCTGGGTATACATAGATGGTGCCTAGGTATACACTGATGGTGGGGTATACATGGATGGTTACTTGGTATACATAGATGGCTACTCACCGGACAAAATTAACCTAAAGATAATATTATGATACCTAACCTGTCCGATGAAGTTTTGTCCAAGTACCCAGCAGACATATTGACCCTTAGAAAAGACGCGTTATAGTTATCTAATTCATTTCTCCTGCCACATATACTTTGATACATCTTAGTGAATGAAAAGTAAACCTTTTAACCATCTCACTGATTTACTCCCCAGCTACCATAGAAAATTCACGAGCCATAGCGAAGAAGGGTGGAGAGGGCGACGAACATGTGCTATACTGACTGTGGCGTCCATCTGGTGGCTCGTTCTGTTCCTCAGGTGTCATTCAGTTTCGGCTCCAGTTTAGCTCCATCAGACGGATGCAACACTTCACTCATACGAGTTTATTTAATTCATAATGAATAGCTTAATTTCTAATCTAGTACACTCGCTTAAAGGTTTATTTCGTGTTCTTTTTATTATTTTACCCCACATTCTCCCTCCGCTTCAAAGCCCTGCCCACTTTGAACAACTAATATTTTTGGTTTTATCGGTTAAAATACTCGAAAAATATAAATTTGCGCCGGAAACTGAATAGATTAAAGTATTTTTTTTCTTTCTCCCTATATAAACAGAAATATGAAACTCCATGCTCGGCCTAAAACGAATCTTTACCACCTTATCTATTGACATGCATAAGGCACTTTTCCCGTCAACTTTCCCGTTTTCTATCGTTTTTTCCCGCATCTCGCTCAGACGAACGTATCGTTTCCACATTATTGACTTGAGCCAATTTCCGTGGTCAACTCAAGATGTATACTCGATAATTCCAATAGTTATATAAAATAAATGTCGAGCTACGTAAAATAACTAAATTTAAATTTAAAAGTATTAAGTATCGCATTTTTCATGAATTACTTAAATGTATTTTTTTTATATTGATGTTCATACTCGTGAATACATCTGATATGTTTGTTTACATTGGGAATTTGGGATATTTGTTCATGACATTCGTATCTATACCTGTGGGACCCTAGACACGATATACTGTATACAACAAAAAACATTGGAAAGGATACTCGTAAAGACTGGCGCGCTAGTTCTCTATGCGTGTGACAGGACACCTCAGAAAAATGACTATCTTTAGAGAGAAAATGACGGAAAAAGTAGTATTGTGACGCAACCTTAACTTATTTCTACCAGTCTTTCCTAATTTACAAAAAGACGAGCATTGAAATCCGACGGAGCGGGGTAAAGTCTACTGTCTGTGGCACGTGTCTCTCTCTTTACATTTAAAAACGGCACATTTTCTACCCTCTCCCCCCACCTAAAAATAAATAATTTATAAAATAAAATGTTAAACATCATATGTGGCGCCCGGTGATACTATAATTAATAAATGTACTTCTGCCTGGGCGTTGGTATATTTGACCCGCTCGTTTATAGTAGAAATGCAGTCGGTTTACCGAGAAGAATTTGGCAACACCGATTTTAATACCCAAGGTGCAGTAGTGAATTGATTTTCTACTAAACTGGACAACTCACTATAGCACCCATGGTATCAATATCAGTGTGTGTGTGTCTATTAATTTTTAATCGTTGATAACTAATGTATTGATAATCGAGAATAAGCGCTTAAAGACAATCGCTGTTGAAGCAGAGTAATGCCTTATAGCACCAGGAACAGATATATAAAAAAATAAGGGATTTAACCAATGTATTAAGTGACAACGGTTGACACGGTTAACAAATTTATTGGCAAAGCTTGTTGTACAGTCTGCCTATTCTGAGTAATTCAATCATGTCTTGACACTGAGGGTGGTATCACTTCTCACTCCCACACAGGACTGAGTTTCATACACAAAGAAATAGATCATATTCATTAACAGTATACATAGGTCAGAGTCATGTGGGTAATATCACTGTTCACTGCCACTCAGGACAGTGGTTCATATACAGTAGAAGTCATATTCTATTTGAGGACTAATCAGTGTGGGCTAGCAGAAAGGAAATGATAACAGCCTGATGTTACACGCTGTAAATGAGTACGTACCCTAATTTTACGGTTAAAGAGGTCAAGGTGGTCGAATGCGGTACCTGCCACGCTATGTGTTACTTTTAATTTTATCCTCTTGGCCACTTATCGGCTCGTTAGCCTCTTGGGCCGTCGGTTACGTCTCTGTTATGCACTGTTGGCAAGTACTGTGCATGAACTGGCTCCTGAATGTAGTATCTGAACCTGTCGCCTCGTATATCCAAGACTGTGTATATATATACTGTGTATATATATATATATATATATATATATATATATATATATATATATATATATATATATATATATATATATATATATATATATATACTGTATATATATATATATATGTATAAATATATGGCGGACAGAGAGTATTGAATTTGAGAGATATACCTCTTGAAATGACGGTTAAAATAAAGTGACAACAGCTTACTAAAGTTATCACATCTTGGCTACAGTCCGCCGGCCCCGCACTCCGACCGTCATCCCTTCCTGCTCAGCCTGGACGAAAAACTCAATTTGGCTCTGATTGGTTCTCTTCCACACGACGCTATAGCCCAAGTCCGCATACACTGGCTGCTGGACTTAATACAAGGAAGGTGAGGTGTAGTGTTGTTCATCTTCAACTTACAGAAGCAGTGGTGATGTTCTTAGTATCAGATATTTATTGTGCAGCTCAGCTTTTGAGCCTGGAGATGGTGGCAGGCAGGAAAGGGTGGATATGACGGGAAGAAAGGGAGAAAAATGGTAAAAAGTAGAGAGGCTAGGATGGATAGATAGAGCTAGGAAGAGAAAGAGGGAGAGAGAGTCTCACCGTGCAGCAGAAAGTATACTGAGTGAAGTGTAATGCTGGGTAGCGAGTGTTGTGTCATCCGTCATCTGTGTTGATCATACTCATAATTTTAGCTCTGTTTATTGTCTCACATTACAACACATAAGTCTGACAAGAAATCTGTCATCGTAGAATGTGAAGATAAAACTAGATAGGTTTATATGGCAATGGTGTAGCTAATAGAAACACAACTAGAGTTGACAGAACATGGTTTATGTGTTATAGCATAGAGAACGGGACTCCTCGGTACAACTTCACTCAGTTGGACGTGATGATGGACCACCTGCACCAGTACCACTTGCGACCTGGATTCGAACTCATGGGTAACCCTGGAAACATCTTTACCGACTTGGAGAACATTACCCAAGTGTTGTGGTGGAGGAGGCTGGTGGCTGAGACTGCTAGGAGATACGTGGGTGAGGAGACTTATTGTGCTTGTTGTAAGTGTGGGGAGGAGGAGGGATGGAGGAGCTTGTGTTGTGTATGTGGGAGTCATGACTTGATGGGAGTGTAAATAAGGTGTATGTTTGTGAGAGAGAGAGAGAGAGATATCCCCTGAACTACACTTGATAAATCTCTTGTAACACTCGGTCACTTAACATATATATGATACAGCCAAAGATTAGTTTTTTCGTGAAATGACTAGTCATCTTGTGTAATGTAAACTAACTTAATCTAATTTTAACCTATCCAAACCTATTTTATCCTTGCCTTACCTAACCTAACCTAGCCTAACCTTGTGGGGGTATGAGATATTGGTTCACACTCAGGATGGGATGGAGAAAGAAACTCACAATGTGCTCACTGTATACATATTGTATTGGATGTACAATGCAGCTTGTTGCTGGGTAGGTAGCATGGTAATAAGCGTTGAGTAGAGAGAGCTGGGTGGTGAGGGTGCCCAGAGGAGGGACACGCGGCTTGAGGGACGCCAAGGTCGCTGGCGGGAACGGCAGCCGCCAGGCTGGCGCGGAGGAGGTGTTGCTTGCTGGTGGCACTGTGTAGAAAGAGGGTGGTCACAGCGGTGTCAGGCCTTATAAGGCGGGGGTAGGCGTGGGTAGATAGTTGACCCCCGCTCCGTGGGCGGCGCTGGAGGCGTAGGCTGGGGAATTCGAGAAGGTTCGGTGCTTGTAGGGGAGGAATCCACTACAATACTCCCCTTCCCCTCCGGGCGCGGCGGGAGGCTGGAGGTTGGCAGGGTTGCGTGCCACATGTGAGGCAGAACGGGCGGTGCATGCCGCATGTGGGACACGAAGGCGTGGATGAGCCGGCCGCTAGGGGGGACAGCTCTGTCTAGATACACGAGATCTGTGGGAGAAAAGAGGGGGAAGGAGGGTTGTGGAGGCGATGAATGTTGTGCTTCCCTCGCGACAGGTACAGAGTCCTCAGATGCGCCTGCTGGGGTGTGTGGGCCTGGGTCAGGAGCAGGGGCTGCGTCAGCAGGAAGAGGGTCCATGACAGCAGCAGGGTGTATGACAGCAGCAGGGTCCACGACAGGCAGGTGCAAGTGACAAAAAGCGAAAATGAGTGAAGAGGTGCAGTACGCGTCAGAGCAGGGGCCGCGTCAGGAGGAGCGGCAGGGGGTACTGCTGGGCCGGGGGCGGCGTCTGAGGCAGGACAGGTGTGTTGGGGTCGGTAGGACGTGGTGCTTGGGGCAGGAAGAGGAGCGGCTGTCTGCTTAGAGTAGCAGAGCTGCTCTAGCGTGTCGAACCTGTGGTGTAGAGACAGTATTTGTAGAGCCGATTAGAGCTGCCTCTGCGTGGATAAGCCAGTCTTCCATGTTGCTTGAAGACTGGGAGAGTGATCAGTTTCTCCTCCATCCTGTGTGAGTGCGACTCTCCGGGGGTCATCATTTGTGGGGTTATGAGATATTGGTTCACACTCAGGATGGGATGGAGAAAGGAAACTCACAATGTGCTCACTGTATACATATTGTATTGGATGTACAATGCAGCTTGTTGCTGGGTAGGTAGCATGGTAATAAGCGTTGAGTAGAGAGAGCTGGGTGGTGAGGGTGCCCACAGGAGGGACACGCGGCTTGAGGGACGCCAAGGTCGCTGGCGGGAACGGCAGCCGCCAGACTGGCGCGGAGGAGGAGGAGGTGTTGCTTGCTGGTGGCACTGTGTAGAATGAGGGTGGTCACAGCGGTGTCAAGCCTTATAAGGCGGGGGTAGGCGTGGGTAGATAGTTGACCCCCCGCTCCGTGGGCGGCGCTGGAGGCGTAGGCTGGGAAATTCGAGAAGGTTCGGTGCTTGTAGGGAAGGAATCCACTACAACCTAACCTAACATTCGATTGGTTAGGTTACGCAAAACCAGTTTTGGTTAGGTTAAGTTAGGTATCCTAATGAAACCTACCTATCCTAACTTACTCTAACCTGACCACGACTAACTTAACTAATCTAATGTTCAGTCATGGTAGCCTTGGTAGGCTAGGTTTGATAAAGATATGTTACGATCCTCTTCCTGTCACCGCGTACCCTGCTTCCACCACTGGTTACCAGCGGCCAGGGTCGTATATACAGAAGCATTAGGTATCTTACAAGTATTGTCGAATTACCACTGGCTGTCCCGCCAGTCTCCGGTAATTTCCCGACGATCGGTATCGTCAGTGTACAAACAAACAACAGGCAGGTAGATTTCCATCAGGTCACGGTAACAGACTTGTGCACTGTAGTCTTCTTTAATAAGAACCGATTCTTGACAACACTGTTGACAGGGTAATGGCTTCACAGCTGGACTTCTCATTTCGAATATATACTGTAGTCGGCACACTACCAGTGTAAACGCCTTAGTCTTTTCACTTTACATTGTTCACAACAATTATCTTCACTTGTACTACTAGGCTTATTCTTTACAATCTGAGCGGAAGCGATCGACTGATTCCTAACCTGCTCGTGGGTACTTGTATATACTCTGATCGAGGCTTACAATAATAAGTAAATCATAATAAAAATGATGCAATACATTCTAGAATATTCTTACATAATTAATACATCAATATATACACGAAAATTTCAATAATTTTGCCAAAATAACTGCTACATGTGACAGAAAACAAGCAAAACACCTAGTTTACAAAATTATAATACGCAATTATGCCTCGGCATAACAGATAGTATACAATTGGTTTTGCTAAGTTAAATTATATTAAAATTGTTTACATTACACAAGTTGACTATTTATTACACGAAATGGCTGCTTACACACTTTAACTGTAACTCACACAGGTCGGTACGGACTGGAGTGGGTGTCATCGTGGCGTTGGGAGAGCTGGAACGAACCGGACCATCACGACTTCGACAATCTTAATTTCACGATCCGAGGTTGGTAGATGGTGGCTTGATACAATATGTTGATTATAGTTACTTCGGGCATATCATGGTTTGCGCTAATAATGATAATCTATAATAATAAAAGTCCCAATGTATCAGTCAGTCAGGCAATTAGTATCATAGTTCCAAGACCATGATTCCTGAGGCCTGAAACTTTGCATTTATCCTGGGCTAAGAAAATAAGAATAAATAAGTAATTAATATATATAAATAAATTAGGGGAAGAGGGGAGAGTGCCGGAAGCCATATCTACAAGTGAAAATGTAGAGGATTGTAGTTAATCTAGTGTAGAGGAGGGTGTAGTTGATATAGTGCTGATGATAGTTTAATTGATAGTGTAGTTATAAGCTGCCTCAAAAACAAACCCGGGCAACATCGGGTTCCCTAGCTAATGCTAAAGCTAATATAGTAATGCTAATAATGATACAGTAATGTTAATAATAAAATAATAATAATAATTACGACAAAAAACAGGTTAATTTCATTCTTAACTCCATATACTGTATAAAGGTTGAGAGAGTTACCTGGTCACATGGTCGCTATAAACACGATACCTCAGACGCCCAGTACAGTAAATTATAAATTTCAATGTTGTAGTTAGGTAAACAATTTCATTGTTACCTTAGTGTTGACAGTTTTCGGTTGGTGTTGAATGTAAATAAATATAGATAACAATAATGTAAACACTGTAGGTTATGATAATGTAAACAAGATATAGGTTATCATAATGTAAACACTATATAGGTTATGATAATATAAACAATATATACTGTAGGTCATGATAATGTAAACACTATATAGGTTATGATAATATAAACAATATATACTGTAGGTCATGATAATGTAAACACTATATAGGTTATGATAATATAAACAATATATACTGTAGGTCATGATAATGTAAACAATATATAGGTCATAATAATATAAACAATATATACTGTAGGTCATAATAATGTAAACAATATATAGGTCATAATAATATAAACAATATATACTGTAGGTCATGATAATGTAAACAATATATAGGTCATAATAATATAAACAATATATACTGTAGGTCATGATAATGTAAACAATATATAGGTCATAATAATATAAACAATATATACTGTAGGTCATGATAATGTAAACAATATAATAATGGTTGCCCCTCGTGTAACGAGGATGGCCGGCCCTAGGGCCACCTAGGCGTGACTTTGTTTAAGGTGTAGAAGCTGTTGCCAACACAACAACCACACCCTGAGTTAACGAGCTGCATGAACCAGTGTCAAGGAATAGTCCAAGAAGACCGGACAACTCGTCAATTGCACTGGCTAACCATTACCTCGGAATACGATCCGCAAATCGATTACCATCCAGGTCCCCAATTACTGCTGGGTAGGCAAAGGCAACTGGCGTGAAGAAACTTGCGCATAGTTTCACCCTGCCCAGGGTTGGCACCCGGGTCCGCTCGCTTGCGAGGCGAGCATGCTAACCATTACACCTCATGATAATGTAAACACTACAGTATATAGGTCATGATAATGTAAACAATATATAGGTCATAATAATGTTAACAATATATAGGTTATGATAATGTATAAAAAATTGATTCAGGAATGTTGCCAATTTTTTGTTTTTACTTTATAATAAGATAAATTCCTTGCTTGTAGTAATGTTAAACTTGTGAATTTTCAACGCCCTGTAATGAATACATAGAGGAAAGTGTAAAACGATCTACAAATACCTCATACCTCCCCCGTCCCCTTCACAAAAAAAACTATATATCTTCAACCTCAGTACAGACCCTATAAAAGCCAATTTTTTGGTCGTTGCTGCGTTAAACTTGCAAATTCTCAAAGCCATTTTTGAGACAGTAGTTGCTGCCGTAAAACAACAGAGAAATAAAGGGAGAAAAGGTAAGGGTTGTTGGTAAGAAAATGAATACTGTATTATATATGTTATAGTGTTTCCAGCTCCAAGATTTTTCTCCTTGTAAACTGTTGATGTCGGGACATACCAGTTGTTAAATATTGTTAGATAAATATTTACTCAATAAAATCTCCTCATACACGTTCATACCAGATGCCACACACCTGCCCCCACACACCTGATGCCACAGACCTGCCCCCACACACCTGATGCCACACACCTGCCCCTACACCTGATGCCACACACCTGCCCCCATACACCTGGTGCCACACACCTGATGCCACACACCTGCCCCCACACCCTGATGCCACACACCTTCCCCACTTGATGCCCACACCTGTCCCCACACACCTGATGCCACACACCTGCCCCCCACCTCCTGATGCCACACCACCTAATGCCACACACCTGCCCCCACACACCTGCTCACACACATCTGCTCACACACACCTGATGCAACACACCTGATGCCACACACCTGATACCACACACTTGCCCCCACACACCTGATGCCACACACCTACTACCACACATCTGATGCCACACACCTAATGTCACACACCTGATGCCACACACCTGATGCCACACCTGATACTACACACTTGCCCTCACACACCTGCCCCCACACACCTGATGCCACACACCTGATGCCACACCTTGCCACACTGATGCCACACACTTTGCCACACACCTGCCCCCACACTCCTGATGTAACACACCAGATGCCACACACGTAATGTCACACACCTGCCCCTACATACCTGATGCCACACCTGCCCCCGCACGTCTGATGCCACACACCTGCCCCCACACACCGGATGCCACACACACCTGATGCCACACACTTGCCCCACACACTTTGCCACACACTTGATACCACACACCTACCACCACACACCTGATGCCACACACCAGATGCTACACAACTGGTGCTATAACACCTGTCACCCCACACCTACCCCCAAACACCTGATGCCACACATCTGCCCCACACACCTGCTGTCACACCTGCCCAGACGCCTGATGCTACACACTGCCACACACCTGCCCCCACATACCTGTCTCACACACCCGCCCCACACACCTGTCCTCACACACCTGATGCCACACACCTGCCCTCACAGTCCTGATGTAGCACACCTGATGCCACACACGTAATGTCACACACCTGCCCCTACATACCTGATGTCACACAACTACCACCACACATCTGATGCCACACACCTACTGCCACACACATGATGCCACACACCTGATACCACACACTTGCCCCCACACGCCTGATGCCACACACCAGTCCCCACACACCTAATGTCACACACCTGCCCCCACACACCGGATGCCACACACCTGCCCTACTGATGCCACACACCCCACACACTTTGCCACACCTGCCCCCTGATACCACACACCTACCACCACCACCACACACACCTGATGTCACACACCAGATGCTACACAACTGGTTGCTATACACCTGTCACCCCACACCTACCCCCACACACCTGATGCCACACATCTGCCCCCACACATGCAGTCACACCTGCCCCAGACGCCTGATGCTACACACCTGCTGCCACACACCTGCCCCCACATACCTGCCCAACACACCTGTTGCCATACACCTGCCCCACACACCTGTCCCCTCACATCTGATGCCACACACCTGCCCCCACATCTGGTGCCTCACACCTGGCCCCACGCACATCTACCACCACACCTGCCACCACACACCTGCTGCCACACCCTTGCCATCCTGTCACGTACAGTACCTGCCATAGATTTGTATCGTCACTCTTGCTGTCACACACCTGCCACAACCTGCTACCATTACACCTCTTGCCATGTGCAGTCTCACCCAAAAGTTCGTTAACTCTCCCAGTCAGCTATTGCTGCACTGCCTGATTCAGATGTTTGAAACTGTTTCAGTACCAACCAGAACATGAAACCGATATGAATGAATCTAAAGGTTCGAAGTAACAGATTCAAGTTCATACATCTGAAGCAGGCAGTGCAGCAATAGCTGGCTGGGAGAGTTAACGAACTTTTGGGTGAGACTTTACCTACCATACACTTACCGTCCCATACCTGTTGGAAGTATGTTTGTGAGAGTTGAACAAACAGACGTGGAGACCATCTTCACTTAACCTATGTTTTGTTTACCAATTGTGACGTAGTAGTGTTAGTATAAGAATTATTAGCACCAAATTACCCTCAGGTTTCCTCAACTACTATGACTCTTGTCGTGCTGGTCTGGACGATGTGAGTAACAGGCTGGTGTTGGGGGGCCCAGGGGGGTCGTGTAGGGCTCCAGGGTACTCCAGGATGTGCTGGGCTCTCCTGCAACACTGTCACAACGGCTCCAGCTTCTTCACCCCAGGACGGCCTCCCAGAATCGACTTTATATCCTTCCATAAGAAAGGTAATGATGGCTGAGGTGAGGAGTGTTCACTGAGGATGTAGTGAACCACCTGTACTGATATTTTAATCAAATAGGAATAACCTATTTTTTTTACTGCTACGACTTAATGAAAATTCATTCATATACGGTAAAATTATCTTTTTTCATTTAAGACGTCGTTTACCACCATAAGATAAGCAAATTATACCTAAAGTAGTTTATAGGAAGGTTAGGTCAAGTTAGTTTAGGTTTTTAGGATTAGTTAGCTCGGGTTACATTATGTGTGAAGCTACTGTATTTATTTATATGTTTTATGATTACCTACATGATCGTTTATGGCAGTCAGAAGTGTTTAAAAACAAGAAATACATAGATGTTATCGCTGTTTAGTGGATAAAGAGCTCACCTGCTGTCCAAAGTATCTTTATTGAGTTCTGGACACCTAAAACTTCACCCAACTATAATTAGCCACCTAGTACATGATGCCTTGTGTACAGTACAGTGTGTGTGTTGCAATCCGTATTTATTGTATAGAAGTAATTATCAGTTTTATATACTGTAGAGGTGATACAGAGGAACCTTCATTTGACGGACTATATGGAGAAGAAAGTCCGTTATATCGAGGGTCCGTTAGATGTAAAAAACATCTCACGGATTATATGGAGATAGAAGTCCGTTATATGGAGGTTTCGATGTATTTTGTTTGTTGTGGGCGGTGGTCAGGAGAGGAAGACGCTGACAGCATCCTGACGAAGGAATGGTCCACCGCCGTCATCATCAGAAGGAACTACCCCAGCCTCCGTCACCTGCCTTTACTAAATGAGTAAGTGGGTGGTGGGGGGGGGGGTGGATGAGTGTGGTAGACGAGTAAGTGTGATGCGTGAATAATTAGGGTGAATCAGCAAATGTGGCGGATTAGTGCAGTCGGTGAATCTACCTGGTGGATGAATGTGATTGATAAGTAAATTTAGCAAGTGAGTGTCGTGTGCAAGTGAGCCCGGTGGTTGAGTGTGGTGGGTGATTGTGGTGGGTGAGTGTGGTGGTTAAGTGTGGTGAATGAGTGGGGAATGAGTGAGTGGTGATGGATGAGTAAAAATATTGTGTTTTTCTATCTTTCACGTTCTTCTCTCTCTTTCCTTCAGTATGTCTATTTTTTATCAGCTTTGTGTTTTTCGTTGTCCTTCTCCTATTTTTTCTCTTATCTCAACTCTATTGACTTCTGTTTGTCTCACTTACACACGGCCCCTCACACGTCCACAGCGAGGGTGACTTCCTGAAAGGGTGGTGGCAAGGGGTGGCGTGGCGGGCCGACACTAGGTACGCGGCGTTAGTGTGCCGGGCAGTGTACACCCACCTGGAGGTTCTGCCTCACCTCAACTACCAACTCATCAGCTTCGACAACGCCTTCCTCAACTACAGGCCAAGTTTCTTCAACCAGAGGACTTTGATGGCCAGGTGAGAGGAAAAGAGAGACATTCAGTGACTTATAGTGTATCTCTGATCGTATTCTCCGACGTCTAGAGATAGGGACAAAAAAAAAACGTATGTTCCCTTTCCGCCACGATAGCTTAAAGAAATAGTAATAAACCTTTACCAAACATAGTAGACAAATTTATTCCTACAAGACCTTAGTCAAAATTAAAGTTAGCCAGTCTCTGTGATGTTGTGTATATATTGTTTTAATTATACAATGTCATTGAAAAACAATATAACCAAATTTGAAATGATATATATTAAAATATGGGCATTCTTTTTTTCGATGACCTTGTATGTTCTCATGGTTTAGTTTTCTGACTGTCAGGTTTCAGATCAACTCGACGACCCCGCGTCAGGTGCAGCTGGTAAAGAAGTCATCCTACGACGTGATGGCTGTGTTGTCGCTGCTGGGGGACCGCACCTTGACCTACACCCTACACCATCACGACCCAAGGTGACGCTAACACTGTGTATACAACTTCACTCATATCATTAGTGCATATTCCTGGGTCCCTTAATATTCATTAGTTTATTTTCCTCTTAACTGGGAATAGAATAAAGTATTTTTGTTAAAGGAGAGTCACGATCGGTTTGGTGCCCGTTTTGGCTGACATATTGTAACGTATCCGTAATTTAAGATGATTACCTTTTTAAATCTCCGTGTGAGAGAAAGAGAGAGAGAGAACGTCTTTTGTAACCATTGAGACTCTTGGCCTTTGATCAATATGCGCTATATCTTAAGATGAACCATAGTTTATAGAAGTAGCACAACTATGTTCACACTCAACTGTTAGCGGATCTCCTGAAGATTAACTGACACTTATTTTACCCGTTGGTTAGGTTAGGTTAACGTTAGGGTGTTTATTATTCAAGTGAAATAAACTGGGGTTCCTAATCATCATGAGATCCTAGTTCTTATGTTTGTTTGTTGCCTTCGCTTTTTAGGTTATCATTTGTATCGTCGTGCCGTAACTGTCAGCCAGGACATCAAAGAAACAACGATCGGCATTTCCAAAACACCAACTCTAATATGCATCCCAGTGCAGCTTCCTCAGAAGACACACCGGCACTAAACACCCAAGAAAATATTTCTCCTCTCCATAACGACCAAAATGGAAGTCATAACATAAATTATCCCGGGACTCCAGAAAAGTACCTGCTGGGCGCGGCGGAGCCTCGGCCTGGCGTCCATGAGAGAACTGTAAGCGATCACAACTTTGAGAGAAAACGGGAATCTAGAATTTTCCAGACTCGTGAACGGGAACCAAGATATAGAGGACAGAAAACCATAGACGGTAGAGACAATATGTTAAGGGAGAAGAAAAATGCAAAGAATAAAAGTAAACATATTGATGTTGAGAATATAAAGCAAGATAATACAAACAAAGCTACGACTCCAAAAAGATTATTTAGATCAACCAACACGGACGAGGTACAGCAGGGGGCGATAACAGTCAGCAAGACGTGGGAATCAACGCTTCTGTTGTCGCTATCCAACGGCACTGAGAAATCCAAGACGGTTAGACTGAGAGCGAGAGTGGCTTTGGCTCTCCCGAAGTTCCTGATGGGAGGTACTGTTACCCTGGCTGCTGCTAATGGTGTCTGTATGTGTGTGTGTAATGGTATCTGTGTGTGTGTAATGGTATCTGTGTGTGTATGTGTGTGTGTAATGGTATCTGTGTGTGTATGTGTGTGTGTAATGGTATGTGTGTGTGTAATGGTATCTGTGTGTGTATGTGTGTGTGTAATGGTATCTGTGTGTGTATGTGTGTGTGTAATGGTATCTGTGTGTGTATGTGTGTGTGTAATGGTATCTGTGTGTGTATGTGTGTGTGTAATGGTATCTGTGTGTGTAATGGTATCTGTGTGTGTATGTGTGTGTGTAATGGTATCTGTGTGTGTATGTGTGTGTGTAATAATAATAATAATAATAATAATAATAATAATTAACGGTTTATTGAAAAAGTTCTGCAGCCCGAAGGCTGAAAATATACATTGGACATAAATGCCTTATTACATACATTGGTGGTTTAACAAAAGCCTTCATTAGAGAAAGGTAAAGGAACATACAGTGAACATACAGATTAATGTAGGATTGTACGTGTTGAACAGCAAACACGTAATGTAGTAACTCTCTCCCAGATGGTGTTAGGAGGAACCTCACGTGATGTAGTGGTTCCCTCAGATGGTGTTATGAGGGACCTGACCTGGTGTAGTAATTCCCTCGCAGATGGTGTTATGAGGGACCACGTGGTGTAGTAATTCCCTCACAGATGGTGTTATGGGGGACCTCACGTGGTGTAATTACCTCACAGATGGTGTTATGAGGGACCTGACGTGGTGTAGTATCCCTCACAGATGGTGTTATGAGGGGCCTCACGGTGTAGTAATTCCTTCACAGATGGTGTTATGAGGTCCTCACGTGGTGTAGTAATTCCTCACAGATGGTGATGAGGACTTGACGGTGTAGTAATTCCTCACATATGGTGTTATGAGGGACATGTGGTGTAGTAATTTCACAGATGGTGTTATATGAGTGAGGTGTGGTCCCAGGCCTTCCTATCGTAGGACGGATTAACACATCGCTGATATCACGGGCCGTTATCACTGGTACCTGGGACCTCACTGTGGAAGGTTAACTTGGGCACGACTGTTACTGGGAGTTGTTTCACTGACTTACACTGTTCACCACTGTTCACCCTGTTTAACACTGGTTCTATTCCTTTCCTAAATGAAATTGTAACTTCTGGCGAGAACTTGTTGATATTCCGGTGGGGAGGAGGGTTCAGGGAGGGGTTGTATGGGGCCAACTTAAAGTTGACCTGGCTGCTCCGGAGAGGAGCGCTGCTCTTGACCGGTGGTCAAGATGGTATCTGTGTGTGTATGTGTGTGTAATGGTATCTGTGTGTGTATGTGTGTAATGGTATCTGTGTGTGTATGTGTGTGTGTAATGGTGTCTGTATGTGTGTGTGTAGGTGGTGTGTGTATGTGTGTGTGTGTGTAATGGTATCTGTGTGTGTATGTGTGTGTGTAATGGTATCTGTGTGTGTGTGTGTGTGTGTAATGGTATCTGTGTGTGTTTGTGTGTGTGTAATGGTATCTGTGTGTGTATGTGTGTGTGTAATGGTATCTGTGTGTGTATGATTGTGTGTGTGTGTAATGGTATCTGTGTGTGTATGTGTGTAATGGTATCTGTGTGTGTGTAATTATCTGTGTGTGTATGTGTGTGTGTAATGGTATATCTGTGTGTATGTGTGTGTGATGGTATCTGTGTGTGTGTGCGTGTGTGTGTGTAATGGTATCTGTGTGTGTTTGTGTGTGTGTAATGGTATCTGTGTGTATGTGTGTGTGTGTGTAATGGTATCTGTGTGTGTATGTGTGTGTGTAATGGTAGTCTGTGTGTGCATGTGTGTGTGTAATGGTATCTGTGTGTAATGGTATTCGTGTGTATGTGTGTGTGTATGGTATCTGTGTGTGTATGTGTGTGTGTGTGTAATGGTATCTGTGTGTGTGTGTAATGGTGTGTGTGTATGTGTGTGTGTGTAATGTGTGTCTGTATGTGTGTGTGTGTAATGGTATCTGTGTGTGTGTAATGGTATCTGTGTGTGTTTGTGTGTGTGTGTAATGGTATCTGTGTGTGTATGTGTATGTGTAATGGTATCTGTGTGTGTTTAATTGGTATCTGTGTGTATGTGTGTGTGTAATGGGTATCTGTGTGTGTTTGTGTGTGTGTAATGGCATCTGTGTGTGTTTTGTGTGTGTAATTTCATCTGTGTGTGTTTGTGTGTGTGTAGGTATCTGTGTGTGTTTGTGTGTGTGTAATGGTATTCTGTGTGTGTTTGTGTGTGTGTAATGGTATCTGTGTGTGTAATGGTATCTGTGTGTGTTTGTGTGTGTGTAATGGTATCTGTGTGTGTATGTGGAAAAAGAGAGAGAGGAGAGGAGTTGTATAACACTCTAGGTTTCCTGGGAAAAGAATTAATTTTAAATAGCAGCCAGTTTATATTAGCGTAAGGCTCGTTAAGGGCATAATATTGACTTTATTTATTATTTATTATATATTTTTTACAGGATATATAAAACATGATTCTTTTGTGTGTGTAGTGCTGAAACAATTCCTGTAATGAGTCATTGATAGTAAAGGCATAAACAAAGTTCCTCACCTATAGAACAGTTGATGATGGTGACCTACCAGCTGGGGTCACGACAACAAGGAGCCTGCATGCCTGTTGAAGTCGGATTCCCTGAGCCTAACAGAACACAACTGGCATATCAGGTCATGGGAGGTGAGGGGAGAGATTGTTGTGAAGAGAGGGAGGCGTGTAGGGAAGGGGAGGAAGAGAGAGGGACGTAGGGGAGGGAGAGAGGGAGGCGTGTAGGGAAGGGGAGGAAGAGAGAGGGACGTAGGGGAGGGAGAGGGAGGCGTGGGGAAGGGAGGAAGAGAGGGGGACGTGTAGGGGAGGGAGAGGGGAGGTGGGGGAAGGGGAGGAAGAGAGGGGGGACGTGTAGGGGAGGGAGAGAGAGGGAGGTGGGGAAGGGGAGGAAGAGAGGGGGACGTAGGGGAGGGAGAGAGGGAGGTGGGGAGGGAGAGGGATGTAGGGGAGAGGGAGGGTAGGGGAAGGGGAGGAAGAGAGGGGGACGTGGGGGAGGGGAGAGAGGAGGCGTGGAAGGGGAGGAAGAGGGGACGTAGGGGAGGGAGAGAGGGAGGAAGGAGGAAGAGAGGGGGACGTAGGGGAGGGAGAGAGGAGGCGTAGGGAAGGAGGAAGAGAGAGGGACGTGGGGAGGAGAGAGGAGGCGTGTAGGGAAGGGGAGGGAGAGAGAGGGACGTAGGGGAGGGAGAGGGGGCGGTAGGGGGGAGGAAGAGAGGGGACGTGGGGAGGGGAGGGAGAGAGGGAGGGTGAGGAAGGGGAGGAAGAGAGGGACGTGTAGGGGAGGGGAGAGGGGGTGTAGGGAAGGGGAGGGAGAGAGAGGGACGTGGAGGGGAGGGGAGAGGGAGGTGTAGGGAAGGGGAGGGAGAGGGGGATGTGGGGAGGGGAGAGAGGGGGAAGGGGAGGGAAGAGAGAGGGATGTAGGGGAGGGGAGAGGAGGTGTAGGGGAGAAGAGAGAGGGACGGGGGGAGGGAGAGAGGGAGGCGTAGGGAAGGGGAGGAAGAGAGGATGGGGAGGGAGAGAGGGAGGGAGGGGAAGGGGAGGAAGAGAGGATGTAGGGGAGGGAGAGAGGGGAGGTGGGGAAGGGGGGAGGAAGAGAGAGGGACGTGAAGGGAGGGGAGAGAGGGAGGGTGAGGGAAGGGGGAGGAAGAGAGGGGGACGTAGGGGAGGGGAGAGGGAGGCGTAGAGGGAGGGAAGAGAGGGGACGTAGGGGAGGGGAGAGAGGGAGGGTGTAGGGGAAGGGGAGGGAAGAGAGAGGGACGTAGGGGAGGGGAGAGAGGAGGGTGTAGGGAAGGGGAGGGAAGAGAGGGAGGGGGAGGGGAGAGAGGGGAGGGGGAAGGGAGGAAGAGAGAGGGGACGGGGGGGGGAGGAGAGAGGGAGGTGTAGGGAAGGGGAGGGAAGAGAGAGGACGTGGGGGAGGGAGAGAGGGAGGCGTGGGGAAGGGGAGGAAGAGAGAGAGGGTGAAGGGGAGGGAGAGAGGGAGGCGTGTAGGGGAAGGGGAGGAAGAGGGATGGGGAGGGGAGAGAGGGAGGCGGGGGAAGGGGAGGGAAGAGAGAGGGATGTGGGGAGGGAGAGAGGGAGGGGGGGGAAGGGGAGGAAGAGAGAGGGATGTAGGGGGAGGGAGAGAGGGAGGAGAGGGAAGGAGGAAGAGAGAGGACGTAGGGGAGGGAGAGAGGAGGAGGGGAAGGGGAGGAAGAGAGAGGGACGTGAAGGGGAGGAGAGAGGAGGGGGAAGGAGGAAGAGAGGGACGTAGGGGAGGGGGAGAGAGGGTAGGGAAGGGGAGGGAAGAGAGAGGGACGTGGGGAGGGAGAGAGGGAGGCGTGGTGAAGGGGAGGGAAGAGAGGGGGAGGGGAGGGAGAGAGGGATGTGGGGGAGGGGGGAGAGGGAGGTGGGAAGGGGAGGAAGAGAGAGGGATGTAGGGGGAGGGAGAGAGGAGGTGGAAGGGGGAGGAAGAGAGGGGGAGGGAGGGAGAGAGGGAGGGGGGAGGGGAGAGAGGGAGGTAGGTAGGGGAGGGAGAGAGAGGGGATGTAGGGGAGGGAGAGAGGGAGGTAGGGGTAGGGGAGAGAGGGGAGGTGTAGGGGAGGGGAGAGAGGGAGGTGTAGGGGGAGGGGAGAGAGGGAGGTGGGGAAGGGGAGGAGGAGAGAGGGATGTGGGGGAGGGAGGGGAGGCGGGGGGGAGGGGAGGGGAGAGAGAGGGGATGTGGGGGGAGGGAGAGAGGGAGGCGTGTAGGGGTAGGGAGGAGGGAGAGAGAGGGAGGTGGGGGGGAGGGGAGGAGAGAGAGGGATGTAGGGGGAGGAGAGAGGGGAGGGTGTGGGGGGAAGGGGAGGAAGAGAGAGGGGATGTGGGGGAGGGAGAGAGGGAGGCGTGTAGGGGGTAAGGAGGGAGGAGAGAGGGATGTGGGGAGGGAGAGAGGGAGGTGTGGGGGAGGGGGAGGAAGAGAGAGGGACGTAGGGGAGGGAGAGAGGGAGGTGTAGGGGTGGGAGAGAGGGAGGCGTGTAGGGGAAGGAGGAGGAGAGAGGGACGTAGGGGAGGGGAGAGGAGGTGTAGGGGTAGGGGAGGAGAGAGAGGGACGCGTGTAGGGTAGGGGAGGAAGAGAGAGGGACGTGTGGGGAGGGGAGAGAGGGAGGCGTGTAGGGGAGGGAGAGAGGGAGGCGTGTAGGGAAGGGGAGGAGGGAGAGAGGGATGGGGGGAGGGAGAGAGGGAGGTGGGGGGAGGGGAGGAAGAGAGAGGGGATGTAGGGAGGGAGAGAGGAGGTGTAGGGGTAGGGGAGGGAAGAGGAGAGGGACGGGGGGGGGAGAGAGGGAGGTGTGGGGGGAGGGAGAGAGGGAGGCGTGTAGGGAAGGGGAGGAGGAGAGAGGGATGGAGGGGAGGGAGAGAGGGAGGTGTGGGGAGGGGAGGAGAGAGAGGGATGTAGGGGAGGGAGGAGGGAGGTAGGGGAGGGAGAGAGGGAGGTGTAGGGAGGGAGGAGGGAGAGGGACGTAGGGGAGGGAGAGAGGAGGCGGGGGGCAGGGGAGGGAGAGAGAGGGACGTGGGGGGAGGGAGGGAGAGAGGGTGAGGGAGAGGGGAGAGAGGGACGTGTAGGGGAGGGAGAGAGGGAGGCGTGTAGGGAAGGGGAGGAGGGAGAGAGGGACGGGGGAGGGAGAGAGGGAGGCGTGTGGGGGAGGGGAGGGGAAGAGAGAGGGATGTGGGGAGGGAGAGAGGGGAGGTGTGGGGAAGGGGAGGGAGAGAGGGGACGTGTAGGGGGAGGGAGAGAGGGGAGGAGGGGGAGGGGAGAGAGGGAGGTGTAGGGAAGGGGAGGGGAGAGAGGGGATGGGGAGGGGAGAGAGAGGTAGGGGGAGGGGAGGGAGAGAGAGGGATGTAGGGGAGGGAGAGAGGGAGGCGTGTAGGGTAGGGGAGGAAGAGAGAGGACGTGTAGGGGAGGGGAGAGAGGGAGGCGGTAGGGGTAGGGGAGGAGAGAGAGGGACGTGGGGGGGAGGGAGAGAGGGAGGCGTGGGGAAGGGGAGGGAGAGAGAGAGGACGTAGGGGAGGGAGAGAGGGAGGCGTGTAGGGTAGGGGAGGAAGAGAGAGGGACGTAGGGGAGGGAGAGAGGAGGGTGTAGGGAAGGAGGGAGAGAGAGGACGAGGGGAGGGAGAGAGGGGAGGCGTGTAGGGGAAGGGGAGGGGAAGAGAGGAGGGGAGGTAGGGGAGGGGAGAGAGGAGGTGTAGGGGAAGGGGAGGAAGAGAGAGGGACGTGTAGGGGAGGGAGAGAGGGAGGCGTGTAGGGGAGGGGAGGGAGAGAGAGGGAGGTGTAGGGAGGGGAGAGGGAGGCGGTAGGGAAGGGGAGGAAGAGAGAGGGACGTGTAGGGGGGGGGAGGAGAGAGGGGGGAGGGGAGGGTGGGGAGGGGAGAGAGGGAGGTGGGGGAGGGGAGGAAGAGAGAGGATGTAGGGGAGGGGAGAGAGGGGAGGCGGGGGAAGGGGAGGGAGAGAGGGATGGGGAGGGGAGAGAGGAGGTAGGGGAGGGGAGGAGAGAGAGGACGTGTGGGTAGGGGAGGAAGAGGGGACGTAGGGGAGGGGAGAGAGGGAGGCGTGTAGGGGAGGGGAGGGAGGAAGGGGAGGAGAGAGGGGACGTGGGGGAGGGGAGAGAGGGGAGGCGTGTGGGGGAAGGGAGAGAGAGAGGCGTGTAGGGTAGGGGAGGAAGAGAGGAACGTGTAGGGGGGAGGGGAGAGAGGGAGGCGTGTGGGGTAGGGGAGGAAGAGAGAGGGGATGTGGGGAGGGGAGAGAGGGAGGCGTGTAGGGTTGGGGAGGGGGAGAGAGGGACGTGTAGGGGAGGGGGAGAGGGAGGCGTGTGGGGTGGGGGAGGAAGAGAGAGGGACGTGGGGGAGGGAGAGAGGGAGGCGTGGGGGGGGAGGGGAGGAAGAGAGAGGGGACGTGTAGGGGAGGGAGAGAGGGAGGCGTGTGGGGAGGGGAGGAGGAGAGGGACGGGGGGAGGGGAGAGGAGGGGTGGGGAAGGGGAGGAGGAGAGGGACGTAGGGGAGGGAGAGAGGCGTGTGGGGGAAGGGGAGGAGGAGAGGGACGTAGGGGAGGGAGAGGAGGCGTGTAGGGGGAGGTAGAGAGGAGGCGTGTAAGAAGGAAAGATGGAAAGGGAAGACGTGGCAGGAAAGAACAGTCATACATCCATTCTACTACTTTATAATCCCTGATGATTTTTAAAACCTGTCTGATCTCACCCGGGGAGCTCCCTCATGATGCTGAAGTGCAGCGGGCGTGTAGGTGTGGGAGGTTGGGGTATGCTATGGGTCAGTTCATCATATTGTGCAGCTTTTTCTACCCTGTCGTGCTGGTGGAGTTGATGGAGGACCTTTAGAAAACGTGGGATATATTCAATTGTTTATATGAATTCTTGAGACTTTTATTGAATGAAAACAACCATGGAAGTTTTTGCTGTAGTGAATGAATTGACAAGTGGGATAAGTTGACATTGATGAGGTTCTAAACGTTGTCTTTCTCATGATCGGCCATTAAGTGTAATTATATCTAACAATCCGTTTAGACACGAACATAAACAGATACCTTAACTTTTTTTTACTTGAACCCTTCACTAGAGAGACTCCACTATTAATATTTCGTTTGGCTAATTCCAGACGATTTTTTTTCCGGCTCGAGGGATCTCTTACACAAATGGTTAGTAGACTATCTCCCCTGACGTGTTATATATACGTACAGTATATACATGAAGGTAGTGTGTGTAAAACGAATATGCGTCTAGTTTAACTATATATGCTTCTGAAAAGGTGTTAATGATATATTATATCAATCCACCAGGGTCCAAGACAGTCACGTCCAACTAAGCTGGTGACTTTCCGCCCCGGCATCTTGTACTTACGGGTGAAACTGTCACTGCCAGACGTACAAGTGATCCATCTGTGTCAGACCACGACAGTTACTCCAGGACAAGTCAGTCGTCCGTCTGTTTGAGTCTTTTTTACTTTTCCACTCTGTCTTTCTCTCATATTGTCTCTTTAACTCGCGTTCTCTTAGTGCCAAACAGCCTTAACTGACTCAAGACAATATAAAACAGATTATGATTTAATTTTCACCACTTTATTTATTAATCAATATGTGCCATCTATATTGTTTTAGTTTATTTACTTTTTTGTATTCATATGCTCTACTTTTTAATGAGAACAAACTGATGTGAGATGTGTACATCAGGTGGTGGGGGTGAAGACAGTGGGAGTGACGTCATCAGATCTATTGGTCACGTGGTCTGACGCTGACATTAACACGAGGTGAGTCATGTGTGTTGGTATGTCTCCATTTGGTATGAAAATATGTGTCCTGTAAACGTGACGGCCCGTTATGGGCACTGTGGATGCACCAGCCAGGAAACTAATATTTTTCATTACTTTGAAGCTAGGAAACTTAAAATTTAAATGTGATTTACAGTCCGCCACTATAGAAACATTTGAAAATCTGTATCCAGCACTATCATGCGACACACGAACCCTTTCTGAATCCGGATTTTGATTACTGTTCGCGCTTCGCGTGTTTAGTATTTACTTCTCGGTTTTCATTTGTTGGAGACGCGACCTACTATATACTATTGTACAGTAGAAGGTAGGGAGTGTTCGTGTTCTGGGTAATAAGTTCAATATACAGGAGCGAACACAAACACCTGTATAATGTTTGTAGGTTCTATTTACTGGATAAGAGATATGTACACAAGGGGAGTAGCGCTCTTCAGCCTGTCCACTGGTCAACTGCTCTATAGACGACGTATGGCAAGTGATACATTAGCAGCTTCCATACGTCGCCAGGCACATTAATTAAGCATGTGGGACATGGTAATTACATTGCCACACGCTGCTAGCTAGGCTGAATAAATAATACATAAATGGAGCACATACATAATATACATAGCATAATATAAATACAGCATACAGAATATACATACACCTCCCTCCCCCCTATACGCTCATAGCAAAGTCTTGAGCGGACCTTTTCTTTTGGATCCGTTCTGAGCGTCGAGGGACTAGATCACTGGGAAGGGTATGGGACTCAACACTGGTGGCGGGGTCAGCAGAAGGCATTGTTACGGGGCGGAGAAAACGGCGGTTCCTCCACCACACACGACCACTGGGTAACCGCACCTGGTAGTCCCGTGACCTACCGAGACCCATGACTACGCCTACTTTGTCCCAACGTAGGGAGGTCGGGTCCTGAACACGGACTTGGGTGCCGACACTCAACCTGGGGAGAGAACGGGCGTGGTCGTTGTAGCGGGCGACGACGTCCTGAACACGTTCGGCGGCTCGGCGATCACAATCCTCTGTCTTGGCCTGCCACTCCTTGGAGAAGGATTGAGGATGAGCAGGGACACAAGAACGAAGGGGGCGTCCATACAAAACCTGGGCAGGGGAGCGTCCGGTGTAGTTAGGTGTGTTGCGGAGTTCAAGAAGACCCCGGTCGAAGGCCTCGCAGTCAATGTTCCCAGAAGGGGCCACCTTAAGGATGAGGTGCTTCAGGGATTTGACAGCAGCCTCAGCGTGGCCGTTGGACTGCGGGTAATGGGGCGATGACAACACATGCCGGACTCCCCATCGGTCGAGGAACACAGCAAAGTCCCGGCTTGTGAACTGAGGCCCTCCGTCGGTTCGCAGGCGCACAGGAACGCCCACGTCACGGAAGTAGTGGCGGAACTTGCTGATGGTGGCGGCAGACGTCGTGTCATTACCGCACTTGATGACAACCGGCCAACCAGAGAGACGGTCGATGATAACAAGGAAGGACTTTCCTGACACAGAGAAAAAGTCGGCTGACACAGACTCAAAGGGGCAGGTGGGGTTGTCGTCACTCATAAAGGGTTCCTGCTGCTGGCTGGGTTGTAATACTTGGCAGGGCTCACACGCACGGACAACATTGGAGATGTCGGAGTTGATGCCGGGCCAGAACACAGTCTGTCGTGCACGTCGTTTGGTGGCCTCAGCTCCACGGTGACTGTCGTGAAGGCGAGCCAAGACGTGGGGACGTGATGCAGCAGGGACAACTACTGAAGGAGAGGTGTCACTGGCCAGAGGTAGGGGTAGGGCGGCAGCAGGGTAGTTGCTGCTCCCTTCGTGCACCCTGTTGGCGTATTTTACCTCGAGAATCGGTGTTGGGAAGTCCTGGGAGATGATGGCCAACTCTTGGCAATGTCTGTAGGACAGCAAAGGAGTCGGGACACCATTATGCACGTCAATCCAGGCTTGACACGACCTGTTGCCAAAGGTGACATGTGCATGGAGTGAACCCAGGGCCGGGGTCATCTGTGAACCATCTGCCATAAAGCGGAGATCCTTGGGGGGCGGTCCTAGATCACTTGGAGAGAGCCCCAAGCATTGCAAATGCTGGGGACCGATGACTGTAGCATCAGCGCCGGTGTCGGGCAACATCTGAAGACGGGATGACACACTGCGGTAGGTCACAATGACACTGATGTACTGGGGGACTTTGGTCCTGGGACGCGGGGGGGAGCACACATTCCTAATATGGCTCGAGCGTTGTCCAGGGTCGTCATGCTTCTGATTGGAAGACTGTGGGCGGCCCTCTCTGGTGGAAGGGAGCTGAAGCTTCCGCCGACGCTGTCCCTTGGGTTTGTTGGAAGGGCAACACTTGTCATAGTGGCCCAGACGACCGCACACATTGCACTGGACGCGTTTGGCTGGGCACCGTACTGTGAGTGACCAGTGGCCCTTACGGTCACAACTGTTGCAGGTAGACTCAGCAGCTGGACACACCTGTGTTCCGTGCTGCTTACCACAGTTGTTACAAAATGAACCGGGCGTGGACGTGGTGGGCGAAGGCGTAGGAGCAGACTTCTTGTCCTTCTTGTACCGGGACACAGCGCGTACAGCTGTAGGGGGAGCTCGGATGGCAGAGGTGGCACACCTGGCAGCCTCATAGGAGCGACATATCGTCAAAGCATCCTTGAGAGAAGAGGAAGAGTCGAGGGAGGTGAGGCGTTGGACAAGTTCCTCGTCCTTAACACCCATCAGGATCACCTGCTTCAACTGGGTCTCCTCGCACTGCTGGTGGTGGCCTAGACATATATCTACCTCTTCCGAGGCTCTCTTAAGACGTACATAAAAGGCGTCAAAAGACTCACCCTCCATCTGTCTGCAGCTAAACAATTCCCTCCTGCGCAGAGCTTCATTCTGCTGTCCTTTGATGTGCCGTTGTAGAATGTCCAGTACCTCCTCTACAGACAGCGAAGAGGTCGGAGGTACTTGCAACGTATGTTCTAAGACACGGTGAATTTCCAAGGACAGGCACATACGCAGCTGGATGAGTTGTTTAGGCTGTGACAAACTCTGGAGATTCACCATTGTAGCATAATCAGTCCACCGTCGCCGCCATTCACGAAAAGTCTGGTAAGTCACATCAGGCTTCAAGATGGGCGGTGTTTGAGCAGCTGCTTTAGGTGGGGCTGGTGGGCGTGAAGAGAGCATAGATGAGGTATCTGAACCATTCAGTACCGAGGCAGTGTTAGAGCCAGGGGCTTGGTTAACAGTGAGGCGAGATATCAAGGCTTCAAACCGTGCACTGTCTTCCAATCTCCGTTGGTGGTCTGCCTCTGCTTGTCTTCTGCGTTCGTCTGCCGCACGTCTGTTAGCTTCATCCTCGCGCCTTTCATCTCTCATAAACTCCATTAAAGCAATTATCTCTGGAGACAACGCTGAATATCGAGGTGAAGGGCTGCGCGATGTTGTGGTAGCTGGGGCGTCATGGTCAGCCTGGTCATCCATCTCTGCGGAGCTATCATCCGACTGACTCATCCGGGCGCTGGCTCCACGGCTACGTAAGGCACGAGACATAACTACTTCATCTGTGTACTGTGTCTAAATCAGTGTTGACCGGTCAGCCCGTCGTATCAACAAGATCTCAGACAAAAAATTAATTAAATACACAGATAAGTAGATTATATATATAAAATATATATAAGGCAATCGCCGATGTCAGTGTGTTAGTACATGTATGTGTGTGTGCCAGGCGGGCGAGAGCGTCTCGCCTCGAGCTGTGAGGGGGGGTGGAGACGACACTGTGAGGGGGAGGTGGAGACGACGACTAGCGGCAGTTACCCTCCAGGCTTCGCGAGGGGAGGTGTACTGAAGTCTACTCCTTACAAATGCCCAGAACATGCCGTGTACCTTGGGAATCCTTTAGAACAAGGTCACACATGAATGGCACGAAACACACAATGCACTAAACACTTCACAGAAAATCACTGTCACTGACACTGCTCAAAGTTGCTAAATTCTTCGAGGAGGGGTGGCGGGCGGCGGTTGACACAGGGCAAGGGGTCCATAAGCCGGCTTTCCACAAACTTTGCACTGTTACTCGTAATTATCCAGTAAAACCGGTTCACTGCGCCATGTTCGTGTTCTGGGTAATAAGTTCAATATACAGGAGCGAACACAAACACCTGTATAATGTTTGTAGGTTCTATTTACTGGATAAGAGATATGTACACAAGGGGAGTAGCGCTCTTCAGCCTGTCCGCTGGTCAACTGCTCTATAGACGACGTATGGCAAGTGATACATTAGCAGCTTCCATACGTCGCCAGGCACATTAATTAAGCATGTGGGACATGGTAATTACATTGCCACACGCTGCTAGCTAGGCTGAATAAATAATACATAAATGGAGCACATACATAATATACATAGCATAATATAAATACAGCATACAGAATATACATACAGGGAGAACCACTGTTATTGATAATGGAAGCTGAGTTGTGTTTATATTTTCATATTGACTGCTGATGGATATTGAAGATGTGGGTTATTAATATTTCTTTGCTATTGTAAGACAGTGGATGGATGGTATTTTAGAGATGTTAGATTCGCCATGATTTATTACATGGTAGGGAAATCGTAGCCTACAATATACATACACAAACCAGCACCGGTTACTCGCCTCTGTTGTTCCTGTAGGCTACACAGTCAGGTGGCCAGAGCACTTCCCATCCCTTGGTTATCATATACGGTAATATTTAATTTTTTCATTGACAGATTTTCTTGGAAAGTGCTAAAATTTCTCACCCATGCCGACCTGCTGGTTGTTCTCTCCTGTCAAGTGTTGAGTTCTATCTTATAATATTTAATAAGAACATAAGAAAATAAGGAGTCTGCAATAGGCCGGTTGGCCTGTGCATGGCAGCTCCTGTCGAGAGCTACTACCACTCTCTATCATCCATGAATCTATCTAGCCTCCTTTTGAAACTTTCCAGGGTTCCCGCACTTACTACAAAGTTGCTAAGCTTGTTCCACTCGTCCACCACCCTATTTGTGAACCAGTTTCTTCCTATCTCCCTCCTAAACCTAAATTTATCCAACTTGAATCCGTTGCTCCGAGTCCTATCCTGCTCGGATATTATAAGAACTTTATCTATATCCCCTTTATTGATTCCTTTCACCCACTTAAAAACTTCTATCATATCTCCCCGCACTAGTGTTAGTTACCAACACTGTTTAACGCTTATAGATATTAGTTGTTGAAGTGCAATAATAACATTATAACGTCAGAATGGATCTACCATTAATTTAGCTTCGTTACTTTCGCACTAGTCAGCATGTGTTTTAATTGTCGTTTGTATATATTTTCGTTTCCTTATTTTCTTCCGGGATCGATCATCTGAAAAGAAGTCTGTTTATCACGAAAGAGTAAAATTAAATAGCCTGGGATATATTACCTCCTGTGGGCTTCTGATTGGCTACCGTAATAGCAGCCACAATGTATAGTGAGCGTAACCCATTTACAGTGCTAACTATTTTAAATCCAAGAGTGAGGCGGCTGAGTGGATACAGCGTTGGCCTCCTGTCCATAGGGTCACTGGTTTCACGCCCGGGGTACCTAGTGTTGTGAATGGGTACCTAACACCACAGTTGAGAAGTAATAGCAGTCAAAGGCAGCAACGCTCTCCTTATTCGCTTGTACTCGTATATAGAATGTATAGTACTCACTGTACTGTATCCACACTGCTCGAACGGGACGTGACGCCTATAGGCCTCTCACTATTTTAGTTTTCTTGTACTTATTTGATAGGAATAACAAATAAAATGGTATTTGCATCACGCCAAATCATGTGGCTGTTTTGAGAGATTAAAGAAATGTTCCTTTTGCCTTTAAAGGCTTCATATAATTTGTGAGATAAACAGTTGGATAAGATGCATGAAGGATCAACTTGAATGAGTCAGGCAGTGGCGCCTCACATTTTTTGAGGATTGGAATATAATTTAATTCCGAAACAATTGCCATTTTGTATATGCAAGACATTGGTTAACTCTGATAATAATAATCCAAATATATGAACCTCTGCGGTATGGTATATGTTGACCCTTATATATAGATATGTATGTGTGTTTGGTTGAGTTAAGTGTTATACTACAGGTGTGTGTTGAGGTACGAGGTGGAGGTGAGTCACGAGGGGCGAGGCGGCCCCTACACCAGCATCACCCGTCATCACCGTCGTCTCCCCACCAACAACTTCTGGTACTCCCTCCCCACACTTCACGGTCAGTACCTCGGTAAACTATAGTCTTTTCTTGTACAAGACGTTTATGTCGCGTTTTTTAAACTTGGGATGCAAAAGATCATGATTCTGATATTGTTTGTAACATAACTAACATCTGTACCAATCGTCAGAGAAGTTTTTACATTCTTTTTTGATATATTCTTCCTCTTAAGATAATCTTGGCTACACTTAGTCATCTCACTCTCGACCTTCCTGCTTTGAATGATACTCTTGATTTTTTCGGAAAAATTTCCTTCTACTGTTCATCAACACGGCCAGTCACTAACTCTTGGTTATTCTTGTGCCAATATTCCTTCCCCTTAAACTTAAAGCAATTTAGTTTCATGTTACAGCACCACGCCCGTAATGTGAGGCGGGGAGGGAGAGGTAACTGTTTTTGATGTGTGTGCAGCTGCTGCCCATACAAGAAGGTCCTCAGTTAGCAATACAAATAAAACAAGAAAAAAAAAAAACATCCGAATTTAGGGTAGTGGCTAATATCGGGCCGTCGGAGGGAGAACTTCCTTTGTTACGTGCCTTAGAAGATAAAGATTTACTACCTACAATAAGAGATTTACTCAACATTCTGTAGTAAGTAACCCCCTCACACCCGCTGGGTGTGAGCCATCCTAATAGTCTTCCAGCGGCCCCTACACACACACACACACACACTTACTCTCATTCTGAAATTCCTTCTGCGTACTCAATATTTTTCGTTGTACATAATATATTTATCCCCTGAAACTTATAACCATCCATAGTTTTCCTAAGACTGTTCAGGAGTCACTAATCCTGCACAAGTAATACTAACCGTCAGTTATGCCCATGGGCCCCACTTTCACTTATTGACTTATTAACGTCCCCCCACAGGTCCCCGCACGGTGCAGGGATGGTACCGGGTACGTGTAGTCACCTACTGGGGCACTGTTGGTCCATTCTCTACCCCTGTCTACCACCCCGTGAGGTAGACACTTGAGGGGTGTGTCGGGGTTGGTGTCTTTTTGTGGGGTGAGACGAAGTACTAGGTGGTGAGTAGGGTAACTGTATATCAGTTGGGAGAAATTACAGTGCAGAATAACGCTTTGACAATAGGGGTTTCGTCAGCTGAGTGTGATCGTCTAGCGCTAGCCAGATGAAAATTATAATTACTGTAGGTTGAGAGGGAGATAAATTTATGTTCTAAGTAACGTGTTCCTTTGCTAAACGAGGCATTTATTAGCAAATGGATTTTGGATATGTTTGAATCGATATCTTGTTAAAGCAGTGAAGTTTTGTTTAACCCCTGGACTACAAGATGGAACTTCCCCAACTGAATTAAATCGTCTGGCGGTAGCCAGAATAAAATATATAGTGAAGGGATTAATTAGCAATCAAAACAACCAGGAAGTGGGCACCACATATTTATTGTAATGCAAACTTGATGTGAACAAAAGTAGTTCAGTCCGGTATAGAATCACCAAACCACATAGTTTAATTGTCCCAAACAGGTTAAATGGATAACACATGTTAACAGTAACATTATTATCATTTTTATCAAATGAGCAATTTATGATGCAAAGCGATATAGCTGTTACAAGTTACAAGTGATACCCAGTATTTCGAGCAACGGTCACGATCTTATGAAGTAAAATAATATTTGTTTGATAATCCATTATCTGGTAACCATGGCAAAGGTGAGCCGAGCACAGAATATAGAGGTAACAGACAAGTAGTATGAGGCACAATTAAAATACTCAGAATGTGTGGAAAAGGACATTTATTTTAATTAACAATATGTGAACGAAAAGCACAAACGAATAACTCCCACTCTGTCTATGGCTGCAGTCACGTCACTCTAAAGAAATAACTTTAATTAAATTTTCTCCTTATTTGGGTATGTAATTTTAATTAACCCTCTCACATATGAAGGGTTTCCCCTCAGCTGAATAAAATAGTTCGACGTTGTAATAAAGGGTTGTTACGACCCTTGGGCCTCTTAAGGATGTAACAATATCACAAATCCACAAATAACACTTTGTACTATAGGTCCAGGAATAGATCCCACCAAATTATCACCTCATTACTACGGGGTATATTGAAATACATGCAGTAGTTTAATAACAGAATATATTAACAAATAAACAAACAATAAGTATAACCGTATGTACAAAAATAAATAAATACAAATTAAATCTGATCAAATAAATGACTCAACCGAGTGACAAAATAATGAACACAAAAGTAAAGACTTATTTAGTCTAGAAACTACGATGAACAACGTGATCTATCCACCACACGAAACCTCATAAATAAGTAAGTTATTTTCCGTGGAACTCCAAAATATGATTAACAATAAACTTTCACAAATAATACTTTACTTGGTGTTATAAAAGTCGAGCAAGGTTTACACGTTATACCACTAGAAACATACTGTACAATAAGAGAGGAGATACTCTGTACTTAACTTAACACTGCTGGGCCCATACTAAAGTAAACAAAGCGAGCTGACGCGGCAGAAATGACGTCACAAACAAAAGACGTTCACGTTGAGAATCCACAACCAACGATGGAACGCTCACTCGTAACAAGGGTTAAAATCAGTTATATCTCACACAGCATTTCACATTTGTTTCTTAGCACTTCAACACTATTATAACTCGAGTACCCCTGGAAAATTTCCCTTTTCAACACTGGGTTACTCAGGCCCACCATAACTACGTAATAGCATGTACTCAGAGAGGTCGTTATCACAGGTGGGACATTTAAATTCACACTCCACTGCCTCTGTGAAGCAGCGTTGAAAACACCTTTTCATGGACTCCTCTTCACCTTGTTTGCTGTTGAAAAACTCGTTCCATTTCACAGCTTGGTTTGACGATTGAAGAACCACTCCACTGATGGCGTCTAGGGCTTCCTTGGGCGAGAGCTGCTCCCACTAACCGCTGGGATATCTCAAGTCAATCACCCTTTGGAGTGCAAGGACGCAGTTCAGGCGAATGTGGAGTGTGGCCACCAGTTGTGACCATCCGTTCAACAGCACCCACGACTCCATGGACCGCCTCCATGTCCTAAACGCAGCTGCTGGCATTTCTGCCTCACACTTCTCTGGAGCGACCGCTGCTGAGGGCTTCATGACCGGCATAGGAGCATGACCATGGCAGCCAGTAGCTAGAGACGCCATCTGAGCCATCAATGCACTCATGGTCTGCTGCTGGGCGCGCGTGGTGTTCCCCGCCGGTGTAGAGATGCCCTGGTGTCCCCTTGAGGGCGTCGAGAATCGTGGACGTGTAGGGGCCATGGTGGCGTTCTCGTCTGGGCTATAATGGCGTGTCGGGCCTCGGCATCCTACTCACTGCGCCATGTGAGAGGTTTGAATAACAGACCAGGTTCTTTGCAGACTTTACTCTTAGAGCGTCAGATGGTGACTGGCAACCAGGCGCTGCCACAGACAAGCTCACCCCTCAACACAGGGGAAAACATATCGTAAAATGGTACTCCATCTGACAATCCCCCCCCCCAAGTTAAAAGGAAATGACAATGCACCATTTGAACTAACAAAAGGAAAACAATGCATTCATAGAAAACAATATTGCAAGAAAAAAGTCGAAGACACACAGGAAAAAAAAAACTAATTTTACACCACATACACTACACACTACACCACATAATCGGCCAACCAACCCGGGGGCCTGCAGCCTCTCCGGGGCCTGGCCACGCCTGACTGGGGAGGGGCCGGGGGTGCGAGCGAGGGCGCGGGTACGGAGGGCACCGCAGAAGGGGGGCCTGGAGGCATAGCGTGATGCACCACCGTAGTGGTAGGCACAGGCGTGGCGCCGCTTCGCAGGTGGCGTCTGTTGCGGATGGACACCCTGCCACTGCCAGTCAACCTGACGGCATACTGCCTGTGAGGGCGGGCTTCCACCAGTATGCCTGTCCTGTCCCAGGGCTTGGTAGCTGCATCCTACACACGCACCTGCATGCCCATGGCTAGGGGAGCCAGCTGGCGGAACACCTCCCCCCACGACAGAAGGATCCCGTCCTGGGTTTCGGCCAAGCGCACCTCCCTCATACGAAGTGCCTGCCGCCAGTGCTGGTCCACCTTGTAGTGCTGTCTGGCCACAAGAACGCCGTCACGGAGCTGGCGGCCGGTGGCAAGTTGGGCGGGCGACTTGTTCACCCCCGCAGAGGCGTGTTTAGGTACTGGAGGAGGGCCTGGGATGTCCTATCGCAGTCCAGGTTACCCCCGGGCCCAGTGTTATCCCTGAGGAGCCTCTTGGCGGCCTTGACCCCAGCCTCTGCTTTGCCATTGGACTAGAGGAAGTGGGCTGACGAGAGCCTCACCTTGACCCCCCATGACTTGAGGAAATCTGTTGTCTCAAGGCTGGCAAGGTTGGTACCTCCATCCTTGGAGATCTGCTCAGGTGCCCTCCACCTCGTGATGTAACCCCGCAGACTGGCGATGATTTTTCCAGAGGTGGCCTCGTTGGGGAAGTGGGCGATCTCCAGCCAATCTGTGAGTCGGTTAGCATATGCTAGGTACGTGTGGCCCTGCAGGTAGAACAAATCGACCACCACTTGTTGAAAGGGATTGTCTGGTGCTGGGGTCAAAACCAATGACTCTGGAGGCTGGGAAGGACGTGGGTCTCGCAAGCAGCACACCGGGACCGATGATACTGCAGGTCACCCTCCATGCCAGGCTAATAGACAGACTGCCGGGCCAGCCTGAGCATTGAGTCGAGGCTCTGGTGCCCCACGTGCAGGTCAACGGCGACCCGGTGGCGGAGGGAGTCAGGGATGACAAGGTACACGTAGCCCTGGTCAAAGGTGTAGGTGACCAAACCCCTGACCACAGCCAACCTGTCCCTCACCGAGAAGTACAGGCACAGACAAGCCACCTCCCGTGACCAACCTTAGAGCAATTGCGACATGTGGCCCCACTTGCAGGGCAGTTGCTTTTACCGGAGGCATGTGTCATGCCGCATTTCCCACAGTGTGCACGACTGGGGTGTCCAAGTCGGGCAGCAGCAACCTCAGACTCACCAGAGATGTCATTACCAACCGCCGCTGCCTCAGTGTCTGTTCCCGTCACTGCCTGGCCAGACGTACGACACAATACACCGGCATCTCTCACTGCTGCCTCAAATAACATACACTTGTTTCTTAGCACTTCAACACTATTATAACTCGAGTACCCCTGGAAAATGTCCCTTTTCAACACTGGGATACTCAGGCCCACCATAACTACGTAATAGCATGTACTCAGAGAGGTCGTTATCACAGGTGGGACATTTAAATTCACACTCCACTGCCTCTGCGAAGCAGCGTTGAAAACACCTTTTCATGGGCTCCTCTTCACCTTGTTTGCTGTTGAAAAACTTGTTCCATTTCACAGCTTGGTTTGACGATTGAAGAACCACTCCACTGATGGCATCTAGGGCTTCCTTGGGCGAGAGCTGCTCCCACTAACCGCTGGGATATCTCAAGTCAATCACCCTTTGGAGTGCAAGGGCGCAGTTCAGGCGAATGTAGAGTGTGGCCACCAGTTGTGACCATCCGTTCAACTGCACCCACGACTCCATGGACCGCCTCCACGTCCTAAACGTAGCTGCTGGCATTTCTGCCTCATAGACCGCCTCCACGTCCTAAATGCAGCTGCTGGCATTTCTGCCTCACACTTCTCTGGAGCGACCGCTGCTGAGGGCTTCTTGACCGGCATAGGAGCATGACCATGGCCGCCAGTAGCTAGAGACGCCATCTGAGCCATCAATGCACTCATGGTCTGCTGCTGGGTGCGAGTGGTGTTCCCCGCCGGTGTAGAGATGCCCTGGTGTCCCCTTGAGGGCGTCGAGAATCGTGGACGTGTAGGGGCCATGGTGGTGTTCTCCTGTAATGGCATGTCGGGCCTCGGCATCCTACTCACTGCGCCATGTGAGAGGTTTGAATAACAGACCAGGTTCTTTGCAGACTTTACTCTTAGAGCGTCAGATGGTGACTGGCAACCGGGCGCTGCCACAGACAAGCTCACCCCTCAACACATGGGAAAACATATCGTACGATGGTACTCCATCTCACAATCTCACAGTTATAAATCAGGAAGTGGAAATATAAAGAAAATTTGTACTGGATATTTATTGTTTCACATATTTATAGTTCATTAACTCACAATTTTGATTCATCTTTCTTCCTTACCGAGAATTGTAGCTTCAGAACCGTGTCCAGGTCCAGCCACCCTCCCAGGGCCTCCCTCTCGATGACCGCCTGCAGTCTGTCTGGCATAGAAGCTCCATGGCTCCTCACCGGGTGTGGCTTGGCCCACAACGGCTCCCCATTGCTCAGCCAGTCTATTTCCTGTCAGTTATCCTTAGTGGCAAACCACTGCTGGGCTATCCTGGCCACATGGGCTGGGCAACGATCTTAAACAAAAATTATTGGGCTGGGAGGGAATGAAAATTTTTTGTCTCTAAGGGATGGAAGGAAAATGT